GAAGTAGAGGGTCATCCCACTCACGTTTCTTGTTCCACAGTAGCTGGACAAGTACTTTGGCCCTTGTAGTGAAAGGGATGAGGAACCCTAAAGGGTCGTATTGACTGGCCAACACTCTGTAAACGTTCCTTATTGTAGGAGGGCCACTCTCGTGGTGCTTGGACTTGTAGTGAAGCGTGTCAGAGTGGCACAGCCAACGCAGACCTAAGGCTGGCTCTTGAGGGTCCATGTCTGTGTGATTCAGCCATTGTTCACTGCTCTCTGATCTCAGTTCTTTGGGAAGATGGCTGACGAGCTCTGGCTTGCTGCTGGCCCACTGCCGAAGCTCGAATCCCCCTTCCTTTAGTAGCGTACTCAGTTTTTCCATAATATCTTTGGCTGTGTCCATGGAGGAGAAACTCTGCAACCAATTGTCCACATAAAAGTGCTTCTCAATAGAGTTGCGCAACTCATCTCCCTGATGGCTGTGATCATGTACGTGTCTTTGGAGCGCATAGATTGCGCAACAAGGGGAACATGTGGTCCCGAATGGAAGGACCTGCCATTCGTACACCTTTGGATGAGCGTCTTTCTGCAGGTCACGCGAGAGAAAGCGCAACAGAGGGCGGTCTTCGGGCAGCAGTCTCACCTGGTGGAACATCCCCTTGATGTCACTGCTGACGGTGATGGAATGTTCTCTAAAACGTACCAGGACACCAAGGAGAGAGGCGCCCAGGTTTGGACCGGGCAATAACAGCTCGTTCAGGTTCTGGTCTTTGTAGGTGAAAGAACAATTAAACACAACACGATTTTTATTGTTGTGTGTCATCATATGGTGAGGGATGAACCATGATTCAGTTGAGGTCCTCACCTGTTCGTCACTTTCTTCTGTGACATAGCCTGCTTTCACCAACCTTGTGATCTCTGCTTGATAAGCTGTGGCCTTCTCCGGGTCTCGACTGAGGCGTCTTTCAGTCCCTCGGAGACTGGGGAGGACTACTTCAGGTGGTACAGAGAGTGTGGGCATGTTATTAACACGCAAGAGAGGACTGGCATATCTCTGAATGCCTTCCACATTTACTCTTGTAGCCTTTACTTCCAGAAGATCCATAGCTTGGTGCTCTCTCAGAGAACGTGTGATCAGCTTCTCACTTCTGTATGGCAGAACATCAAGTTGCCATAGCTTCTCTACGTGACTGAAAAGCTCTGCCGCAGGTGAGATAGTAGACAAGAAAAGACATTGTTGGGGCTGAGTGTTCTGATGGCAAGAGGGGACAGGTCCCTGTAGTGTCCAACCTAACCTGGTCTTGACTGCGGCAGGACCTCCAGGTGGACCCAAACGCACAGGCTGGATGGGAGTAACCAGGTGGGGACAGTCGGAGCCAATCAGTAGGAGCGGCTGGGCATTTGTGAATGGCTGCAGTGGTAACTTTCTCAGATGCCTGTACTTCTGTTGAAGAGCCTTCACCTGGTATGAATGCTCAGCCAGTCCTAAATCATCTGCTGTAAAAGCCTTCGCAATTGTAAAGGTCTTCAATGGTTGGCTTACTGGTGAGACTTTAAATGTCACTGATTCTCCGTGTAGTGTTCTCAGTCCTTGTCTCACAGTTCGCAGTGAGAGACTCTCTGGGGTTCCCCTTAACTTAAGCCTCTGGGCGGCCTCTTGAAGCAGGATTGTCCTCTCAGATCCGTCGTCAAGTATGGCCAATGTCTCTAGTGTATGCTCACCATTTCGCAGCAGGACCTTACTGATCTTCAGGAGAACCTGATTACATCCTGCTCGCCGGTCTAGATAGAGAACATCTGCAGAAGATTTATTCTCTGGCTCAGAAGTTGTCGGGTTTACTGCTCTGCAGCCACACGCAGATTCACGACATGCAAGGCCTCAAGATGCTTTCCTTTGCATGTCTTGCACTGTACTTTAAGTCGACACTGAGCCACTTGGTGGCGCCGCCCACAACGCCAGCAACGGTTATTGAACTTAATCCAGTTGGTCTTCTGCTCCTTTGCATTTTCTAGATCAGTGTGCCAATTTCAAGTTTCTGACAGAGTGTTGCAGCAGTAGGGGCAGTATGATTTGGGCTTGTCTTGAGCATCTGGAGTTGAATGGGTTTCAACTAGAGTCTCTCTGGATGTACCATCTCGTGTCGCGCCAAGCAGGACTGTTGTAGTCCTCTTAGCAGCTCTTTTATCTCTCTTTGTGCTGATTCTGTCTCTTTGAACATCCTCTCCTTTGTCCACTCGGTCCCCGCGCTCTTGAATAACCAGCTCATATTCCAGCCACTCTGAAAAGTCTCTAAGTGATGGCACGCCACTGTTTCGTGGGTAGAGATAGCGGCGGAAGGCAGCTCGTAGATCCTGAGGCAGCTTTCTTGTGAGTCTCGCCACATGAGATCCACACTGTAGCTCTACACGGCCGTCCCCCCCAAGCTGTTCCAGCATACCAACCAATGCTCGGACTCTGAGTGCAAACTTCCTGAAGCCTGCCGTGTCGCTGGAATGGATATTGGGCTCATCCATCAGCTCTGCTATTCTTTGCAGTGACAAGTGATGAGGCTGACCATATTGCTTGATGAGTGAAGCCATAGTGTCTGTGTATGGGCGAAGAGAGTTACTGTACGAGTCAGCGATCAAAAGAGCTTCTTCAAATCTGAGGTGGTCACATAGTATCTGATACTTAAATCTCTCCGTTGCGTCAGCTGGAAGAATGTTGTCCAAAGCCAATCTTAATCGAGCAAACTGTCTGGGGTCAGCCCGTGTAAACTCCGGAATTGATGGCTTTGGGCCTCTGTAAATCTTCTCCTTCGTGGCTATAGGTTGAGTGGGAGTAGACGCGCACTCTGGAAACAGGATGTTGCCCTCTAGTGTTGTACCAAGAGTTGGTGATGCTGGGATAGGCTGCGGCACATGGCTCTGGGTGTCTGTACCAGTGGTCACTGCAGCTGCGGCCTGTAGAACTCGTAACTCCTCCAGGCGCTGGCTAAGCTCTTGAACAATACCTGGTGATTGCGAGTGTGGAACGAACTGCACGTGTGGCGAATCAGGATGGTCTCTGGGAAGGGAGACTGGAGGTGGTGGTAGTGGTCACTCCTCCTGCTGTTCAGCACTTCCTTGTGCGCCAGGTATAGTATCCTGATGCAGAGAGGTCTGAGTGGGCGGATGTGTGGAGAGCCACGAGTCACCGGCTGAAATACTTCCTGACGGCGCAGGCTGCAAACTTGTAGAAGCCAATGTTGCAGTGCCACGATCCATCCGTCTCCACATATCTGTAAACATCATCTGAAGACGCCTGTTTTCTTCCTGCAGCTGTTGCACAATGTTTATAAACTCGTGGGGAGCACTGGATAATGCTGGTTCAGTGATGGAAGTTCTAATATAACCAGGAGATGTTCCACTTATCTGTTCTGGGGGTTGCTGGAGGGGCGTCATCCCGGTGTATCCCTCTCTGGCCCTGTACTGCTCCGGTGGGGCAGGTGGCCGTGCGTATCCCTCATAATCGCTCATCCATCCTGGCGGTCGCACTGTTCTCTGTGGACGGGCACCACCTCTCTGCGGATCAAAATCCATCTTCACCCCGTAATCATCAATTCCCGGGTTTCAGCACCAAATCTGTTCCGGAGACTTTCTTACTACTGTGGTTCAATAGTGGTGTGATCGCGGAGTGTGCATCGGTTAGAATGCAATGGAATAGGATGGATGGATCTTTATGGTTTTTTTATTTTCAGATGGGAGAGTATAGAATGACTAGTTACATATACGTGTGTGGTTCTGTAACAAAACAGACAGTAAAAGGAATATTAATTACCATTTACATACAAATAACAAAAAATAGTAGTGTAAATATAACCTGGGGAAATGAGAATTTAACCAAAAGAAGATAATAGGTAGAATTCACCATATATTCACTGTAATAATGCAGTCACATGCTATCACGCAGGCCCGAAAGCATTCACCACTACGCAGGACTACTCCTATTACACATAAATAGACACTACTACACTACTAATTAACAGAACTGACATACAGGTGACTGCACTAGCATAATAGGATGCTATTAACCAACTAAACGTAAAATAGAATGAGCATTAAGTGCGCAGGAAAAACATGATTTGTCTTAACATCTTAGCTCAAGTGCTAACAACAATGAACGAGAAAAAATAATGTCAAACATACTCTAGTAACACTCTTATACACTTTAACATTACAGACATTGCACAGCTAAACACCCACCTGTCTCAAGGACGCACACAGTGAAGAAAGGAAAAAGAAAAACGAGGGAACATGCAACTTTCACCGATGCTCTGGGCCGACTAAATAAACACAGAAGCTTTCCTTATTCACAAATGGCTGCGCCCCTAATGGTCGGCCTGGGAACTGCATGCAAACTAAAAATACTGTATATAAACAGTCTCGTCTTTTCAACACTACATGAAATCTCAAGGCCCACAGAGAAGGAAATGAATAGTTGAATACAGTCGTTATTTTTGTTTGTTTTTTTGCACACAAAAAGTATTCTCGTTGCTTGATAAACTTAAGGTTGAGCCACTGTAGGCACTCTGACTATTTTAACGATGTCTTTCATAACTTTTGTGCCGGCCAGTTTCGATCCCTTTAGAAGCCTATGGAGGAGTGATCCAGCTCTCAGATTTAATCAAAAATATCTTAATTTGTGTTCCGAAGATGAACGAAAGTCTTATGGGGTGAGTAATTACTGACAGAATTTTCATTTTGAGGTGAACTAACCCTTTAAATACTTAAGAAAACTTAATTTAAGTAAATTAATGATAATTTATTAATCATAAACCAGTCATGATTTTTTACAGCTTTATAAGATTTTTTTATTAGAGATCTTAATAAATTCTGTAAAAATATTGTTAAAAAATCGGTAACGCTTCCTTTTACAAAAAATCATGATAATGAATGCATTAACTAACCTTAATGAACTGAACCTTGTGTTCATCATACAAAACTTTGGCTTTCTAGATCTATAGAATATGGAGTGACAATATCTTTGTCGACAGGGTTATTTCAACCAGACGGTCTTGTTCTATGGTGGTTATAATGGTGAAGTGATTGTATCCACACCAGCCTACAACATGCAGTTGGCCTACTTTTTCACCATAGCTGCATATCTGGTGCTGTGTGGGGTGTCTCTTATCTACAGGTAACATATTTAGCGGTACGGTAGGTTTCTAAGGCCTTTACAGCATACAAGCAATACAACGCTTGTTTTGTTGCTAGATAACTTCCTGTTGCACAATTTCCCAGACTTCACATATAACATTTTTGGCATTTGAAAGCCATATGGAAATATAAGGATCCAGTCATTGGCTATGATAAATATGAATGTTTTGAGGTTTGAAAATTTGCATTTTGTGACTCAAAGGTCACCATGTGAGCAGAAGTAATGAATGGTGCAACAAGATAACATGTCTACAGTTAGATTAATGCCAGAATGGAATGCAGTAAAAAAAGATCTGGTTTTCTTTTCCTCCTCCGCAGCATGTCCAGATCCTTTCAGAATAACTTTGTGCTGGAGACAGGACCCGTCTCTGGAGGAGCATGGCGTCTCTTGTGCAGCTGGGACTTCAGTGTTGTCAATGAAAAAGCCATTCAGTACAACAAGAACAACCTCGGCATTCAGCTGAAGGTTCATACCCGTTTACCTGCTTGTAGGTGTCATCCCTTTTCTGTTTCCATTGGCTCATTTTGACCGTGTCTTCCAGGAGTCCTTATCTGAACGTTTACAGGAGAAAAACAAAACGTCTCTGTCTGACAGAATAAAGCGTCTGTCTCTCCACCTACTGGCCTGGCTGCTCTCTTTAGGACTCGCCCTAGGCTCCAGTGCAGGGATCTACTTCCTGGGGAAAGATCAGCTGGTAAGTTCATTCACAAAGTGGTAAATACACAAAAAATACACATTTTGCTTGCATTTCACGCTCGTGTGCTTATGTTTTGCTGCAGACCTTTAATTTCGATCACGATCCAAATGATTTAAAGGCCGAGGCATCTACTCTGCTTCTGCCTGTGGTTGTGTCTCTCATCAACCTGATCGTGCCTCTCCTCTTCTCCCTCATCAGCAAAATGGAGAGCTACTCCAATCCACGTGCACAGATCTACATAAGCATCATCAGGTGTGATCATTGTTTTGTCACCAGAAGCATCAGATTTCCATTGCTAACAATGCCAGGTGACCTCATCATTGTCTGTTTTGTTCCTAGAAATGTTGTTTTGAAGATGTCCCTTCTTGGAATTCTTTGCTTTTACTGGCTGAATGTTGTTCCCAACGAAATCTCAGTGGGTGCACCATAAGTGTAATTGATCATGGATTACTAGCAAAGCATGATTATGTTTCTTTTTACGCAGTTGTAATCTTTTTTATATTCAAGTGTTGGGAGTCCTTTGTGGGGCAGAGTGTGTATCGACTGCTGATAATTGACTTCATATTCTGTCTACTCGGCATTTTCTTTGGGGAATTCCTACGCAAGTGAGTCAAATACATCTTGGCTGCTGAAGTAGGTCTGCAAAAGGCAGCTCACAGCTGGAAATGTAGTACCATTCAGTGGATGATTTCCACCACTTTAACATGTAAAACTTGTATGCAGCTTTAGTAGAATCATTCAAAGATTCCAAAGAATTAATGTACTACCGTTCCAAAGTTTGGAGTTTGTACGTTTTTTGTGTTTTTTTATGTTTTTGAAAGTCTCATATGTTCACCAAGGCTGCATTTATTTTGATAAAAAATGCAGTAAAACAGTAATATTGTGAAATATTACTGCAATTTAAAATAACTGCTTTTGTATTTGAATATATTTTCAAATGTAATTTATTCCTGTCATGGGAAAGCTGCAGTTTCAGCATCATTACTCCAGTCTTCAGTGTCACATGATCCTTCAGAAACTATTAATTTTTTGAATAAAAAGTTAAAAAGAACAGAAGACATATTTTGTAACATTATAAATGTCTACAATGTCACCAATTAAATGCATCCTTGCTGAGTAAATAAATATAAATGCTAAATTTAAATATTAAGTTTTTTTTTTACATATCTTACTGACCCCAAACTTTTAAATACTGTAAAAAAATATATATATTTGCCGTTTACTTTGTAGAATAAACTGTTTTTACAGACTGATAAATAAATAAATCTAAGGAAATGGTTTACATTACAGTTCTATTCATGAGTGTACTGTGGACCCTTCCAAATGAAGAGTAATTACTGATTACAAATGACACAGAATCAATAGATTCACTTTCATTTAACTTTTTCAAAATTGCTACAGTGTAATCGGAACCATGTGCATCCAGAGCCTTGGCGTCCCAGAGTTTGACATTGCTAGGAATGTACTTGATCTGATCTATGCCCAGACTCTGGCTTGGTAAGTCAATATCTGCATCTCTTCACGTCTATACTTTGATATTCCTTCAAGCTGATTGCACTGTCTCTTTTATCTCTCTTCCTGTCTGCCCCAGGATTGGAATTTACTTCTCCCCCCTACTTCCTGTAATGCAAGTCCTTAAATTGTTTATCATCTTTTACTTGAAAAAGGTAAGCACCATTATAGCATCACTTTGTCCTTGCAGTCGAGATTATATTGCATGTTCTTAGTCTCACGGTTCCTGTTTCAGATCAGTCTGAGCATGAACTGTCAGCCTCCCAAACACACGGGCAGAGCCGCACAGATACAGACGGTCTTCATCGCCCTGCTCTTCTTCCCCTCATTTGTGGGCACGCTGTCCATGGTAGCATTCACAGTGTGGAGGTGGAGTTGACTTCCGACTAAGTGACATATCTTCAGTGCAGTTTGTTGCTTCATTTTGTTTCGTATAATCGTGAACAATTCCTAATTCGACGACAGACTAGAGAGTGGCTCCAATCAATGATATAACAGAGTTTTGAAGTGTTTTTGCGTTCCAATGCTCTGATTTTTGTTATTGTTTGTCTATTTAAACATGACCCAGATGGGCGCTTTGTTCTGCAAGCACCACGTTTTTAAAATGCCATGTCAGTTTATTTATTTAGTTGTTTTGAAAGGTTATGTTCATGGCAAGAACAGGGTAAAATCAGTTTTTTACAAATCTAACCGTGTCAAGGTAAAGGAACCCATTAGTGTTTTAAGATGTAAAGCCGCGTATTGTGTAAACAAGGCTGTTCATGCTCTTGCATTTACATTTGTGAGATACAGCGCAGAGAAATAGAAAAAAAATATTTTTAAAGTTTGGTCTTTTAACTTGACACTGCCTTTTAACAAAGACACGTGTGTGAGATAATAGCTGTGTCCCAATGTGAAGGCTGCGTGATCCGAAGGCCGCATTTGAAGGCCGATTGGCCGCATTCGAAGGCCGATTGCGTCACAGCGGCGTGACGAAGGCTGTCCCAATTCAAAGGCTGCATCTTCGAAGGACGCATTTGAAGGCCGATTGCGTCATCGCGGCGCGACGAAGGCTACCCTGATTCAAAAGCGACGCCAAATGCACCCTTCGTTTCCCCGTGAAAGGAAGGATACATAAATGGACACTTAGCGGCCTATCCTACCCTGATCCTACCCCATAATTCATTGCGCGCCGGTGACGACAGCATTTTTGGTGCAGCATTTGGTGTGTAGCCTACAGTTCAAATTCAAATGTTGGTGTTCAACTATGCCTTTTAAAACCGTTCATTTTTCGTTTTTCAATTACGGGTTAAAAAATTAAAAACGAATGGATGCAAATTTACACAGACTATTAAATAGTTTATTGATAGATTCTTAGATTAAAGTCTTTGATTTTACTAGTGTTTTGATTGACTATCAAACCTTTCTACAAATACATTATTTTAAATATTTAATAATATAAGGTAGCCTACTTTTGCGTCCATTTGTTTTTCTTTTTTTTAACCCGTAATTGAAAAACTAAAAATGAAAGGTTGTTGTATTTTTAAAAGCCAAAGTTGAACACCAAAAATTGAACTGTAGTAGGCTACACAAATGTTGCGCAAAAAAAAAAAAAGAGACATTTTGCCCCTTTATTAAACATTTAAAATATTCACAAATTACTATGGGACAAATGTCGATTTTACTGGTTTTCTAAGGCCAGAGTAAGCCAAGAGTGTGTAACATTGTCACTGTTTCTGTACCACAGTCCATTATAAACCACATCATGGATAAAGTTTACAAAGCCATAGTCAGGTGAGGGTCAAGGGTCTTAACCTCTTAACGCTCGCCAGTGCGTCGGCGCACTGAAGCGTTTTTATTTATTTATTTAGTTCAAATTTACTATCAGATTTTATTTTATACCTTAAAGCTCCAGTCCGTAACTTTTTTAAGTTAAAAATAATCCAAAATAATTATATAAAAAAAAAACTTATTCTGCCAGTGGTCAAAACTATCTGCTTGCCATAGCTAGATTCAAAACGGTTAGCTTGTAATAATGATTTTAATTCCAGTGGTACTGGTGGGTTTCCGCGGGAAATTCGAGCATGTCTTTGCGTCATGACGTCACACCCATACACATAAAGAAGGAGTTTCGGCTATAGCCGGCTATACTGCGCGTGACGAGATGTTTAGATGTATAGGCTTTTCTCGCAGCACTTTACATAATTAAACTTATGGCATCCAGAAAGATCCAAACAACAATCATCAGTGTCAACTGGAGATTCAGCAGTTATAAAACCCAAAAGACTTCGCACTTCGGATTTAAGGTGGCTAGAGAAAGAGAAAGAAACCGTCTCATGCGAACACAAGGATTTAAACATCGACGGGGCTTTTGAAAAGTGCTTGAACTCCGTGTTTTGAAGGGGTTCGAAACGGAAGAAGAGACGGCTTTTTTCTGCTGAACAAGTAAGACATTTCAATAGTTCAATCGTGTAACAGTACGTTTTCTTAATTCACACAGTTATGGAGTTTTCTTTGTTGTGCCTTTCTCGTTTTGCTATTATGGAGAATATGAATTCTGAACTACACAGGTAGCTGCTAACCATAAAACACATTAAATTTAACATTAGTCACGCAATGCTGATGTTGTTAACATGAACAATTTGAGAACAAAGTAGGCTATAATTTGCACGGTTGCTGTAAATCACGTTGATTAAATCTAACGAAGCTTATCATGTCGATTGCTTTTTCCCCCTTAGTTGGTCAGAACAAAAATGGATTTTACTTACTTGTTCAGAAGACATTTTCTTATGAAAATTCTTATGTTGGTCAAACTTTCAAAAAGTGAATCTGTGATTCTGTATGACATTATATCCACACAGCGCGGAGACTGACAGCAGCACTCGCCTCAAAGCACTGTGTTCATCCGCGCTGTTTCATGCTGATTTACAACCCACGTAAAGATAATAATTCCGCGAATCACTGCAGTTACAGATTTCGAACAGAGAGATGGCGACAAAGAGGAAAAGTTCCGGACTGCAGCTTTAAAGGAGATCATGAAAGCGACTGATTGTTTTATTTTATTTTACAAAAGCACAACGTTTTCTTGTTATGTGAGTTTGGACAAATAAAATTAGTTGCGAATGATGTATTATTCTTTTCTGTGTGACCAGAAATGATAGAGTATTTTTTAAGTTGTTTCCACTGTTGATGGGAAAATGCAAGTGTTCCCGGCCGCGCATCCGTGCCATGCAGTGCTCGCTCACACTCCCACACACATTTGCGTCAAAATCTTGTGTTTATTTGTGATCATCTTAGCCCTGTATTATGACTGACATTTGACGAATTTCTTTGTTCCTTTTTTGGATAAAAACGCCTTCTAAATATGTAGGCTAATAATAATAATATTATTATTATCATTTGCATTGAGGTCACTGAAGACAGTAATATGTTAATCATAAAATAATTTATGAATGTTTTATTTTTATATAACCTAACCTTGTGTTTGTGTTATATTTCTTTTTTATATGTGAAGTCTTTTTTTACTTATTCTATTATACTGAGCTTTTTCCTCCTAAAAAATTGAGCTTTTTCCTCCTAAAAAATTGACTTTAAAGACAAGTGGCCTAAATGTCGTTTAGAAAATTCATGTATTTAACATCCTCAGTAAAATATAAAACATAAAAATGACAATAGCCAATTCTGGCTCCATAGCTGTTTACTCAATTATAACAAATTAATGATCAGGACGGCAGCTCCATCTCGCACTGTTGCTTGGCGCCATGGAGCGGTAATCGGGAACACCTGGATGCGCAATTAGGAAATCCTATGAAGGCTACAAGGTGCGTCCTTCGAAGGACGAATAGTTCGAAGTCCGCGGCCTTCGGAGAATGCAGCCTTCACATTGGGACACAGCTGCTGAGAGCGAGAGGTGTGCAACGGTCAAAGATATCCGTCTAGATCAGTTGTTCTTCCAAGGGGGCTTCAAGAAGACCTAAAGTCATCATGAAATCAAAATGGACAATTCTTATTGTTTATAGAATATTGCAGTATTTATTATATGATTTATAATTTTTTTTATTAATTCTTTAATCAAAATAACTCCTCCCTCTTGCAGCAACTAACGCTAGGGTGGGCCGCGGGACAACCTGTCACTCACATGACATCACAGCTATGGCAAACCACAGCGATCCAACAAAATCAAGTCCCGCCTTCATTTTTTTCTTGTTCCAGAATGTGTTTCATTCGAATGTATGTACGTAACGTCACAATAGGGAATAAAAGACTATCGCAACTTCCATTTTGATTTCAGACTTGATTTAAAATAAGACAAAACAACAAAAAAAATCAAGATATTTCGTATATTAATTCACCCTCTAAACAACTGTCTTAAAACAATTGGATATATGAGGCAGCCTATTTTAAAAGTGCGATTACTATACCCAGAAAAGCCATAGAAATTTATCAAATAATTTAAAGAAATGTTTTGTTAATTGAATATACATTTTTCTAGTAATGCCAGACCTCCAAATATTTTAATGGGGTAGAAATTTTGAGTTCAAAATATAATTTTAAAACCCTTCTCCTTAAACCTCATAAAGTAAATCATGAACTTCTGGAAAAAATCATGAGGCATTTGAATATTGTTGTGGACGAGGGGGGTTGGGGTTATGGATGGGAGGGCCTTGGTGTCAAAAAAGGTTGAGAAACACTGGTCTAGCACATTAAAAGCAGCACAGTGGGGTGCAAAATGCATTGTGTGAACCGGCCCTTACTGTATTTTACAGTCTTTTCCGCTTGTCTTGCAGCCTGCAGCCCTCAGATCAGTGTGGGCCCTTCCAGGGTCTCGACACCCCCTTCTACGCCATTTTCAATTGGATCGATTCAATCCAGGACCCTCCTGAAAGTAAATGGGTCTGGTGGATATTTGAAAACGTACTGAGAAGTGAACTCTTCTACTATCTGATTAGCCTCATCATCCTGTAAGTCCACAAGCTGGATGTTTTGTGAACGCCTTAACACAAAAGGAAACCTTTTTTTCTGGATCTTTCTTCATTCCTCGCTCTCTTCTTTCAGAGTCATCACTTTTTTTCTCTGGCAAATCACTCAGGGACGGAAACAGCTCATCAAGACTCTGCGAGAGCAGATTGTGAATGTGAGTGCCCTCACTTTAGCATCAGTGTCGTCAAAAACAAATAGTTTTAACCTCAGTGACTCTTCTTCCATCTGCCTGTCAGGAAGGAAAGGACAAAGTGTTTCTCTTGAATAAACTACAAACTATACAGAAGCAGAGAAGGGAAATGGCATCTTACATACCTCAGGTGCGTGTCTCTCATGTGTTCTGTCTGGTCTAACGTACATTCTTCTTGCATCTAGTTATCGTTAGTAAAATACTGTACTCAACAGAAAGAGAAACATATTGTGATTGTGGAGATTTCAGCCCAACACAACAGAACTCAGGGTACTACAGTCCTTAGCAGGCTTCAGAGAAACCCCAGAATAGGGCACCTTCATACTGAAGATACTCTACTGCCAGGGGCCGTGCCTTCAAACGCCACCACCTCTTAACAGACAGAGCTCACACCGGTAGCCCACGATCCCTTCTGACATGCAGCGGGGATCAAAATAAGATCCATATTTTTGTAAAATGCATTTCCATCTCACTCTTTCTGGCGGCCTGTAAAAGCAGAACAAAAAGCACAGCATTTTTCTTGTGAGGTCATATATTGAGTAAAGCTGAAATTTTTTGCTCATTTGAAAGCACTTTTAAACATTCTCATCATCTTGATCTTATTTTCTGTCATGTAGGACTTCGACCAGACACCACATTTCAACACAAACTGGATGAATACTCTGCCCTTCGATATGTGACATTATATTCTCTGATTATTTTTGATGTACATGCATTTTTCTGTAAATATTGCATTTATCTGTAACTTATTCAGAAAAATCTAACTATCCTCTGTGTATTGGATGGGGAGAGGAATTGTTTGGAAACCATGTGTTCCCACAACTTAATTTGTTCCCTCTTTTTCATTTAGTTAAATAATGGCTACAACTTAACTAAAACAGAAGAACAATTTAATAAGTCATGGAAATTAATTCTAAATGCATTGGCCATTATATCCTTTTTTCACCCCGCAAGTCATGTGCAGGGCTCCGTACTTTCCTCATGATAAGTAGGAAAAACAAGCTAACATTTTACCCCTAGTCATATCCTAATCATTTATTCTGATATCTTTGTAAATATCAACAAATAAATATTTTAATATGTAAATAAGTGTCATCTGTGGTGAGCGATGTTGGATGTAAAGAACCTCAAAACTTTGTTTTACTGATAACAATATCAATTTTATTGTGGAAAAAGTCGTTGCTTTCATACACTTAAGAACTGTACAATCAATAATTTAAAAAAATGTTTTTCATTGTTATTGTTGCAAGAACTTCTGATAATTATGCAGGTATTTCAGCAGCTTTTAGCTTCAACCAAAGGAAAATAGTGTTTACAATTGTGTGTTCCTACTGCTCCACCAAATCACTTTTCCCTTTATCCCGTTCACACAGAAGAGGAAACACCAGGAGGGTCCCGTCATGCTGCCCGACGTTACACTTAAAAACCATGAGCATGTTTTTTTTTTGTTTTTTAAATATAATCAGAGGCTTCAGTTACAAAGAGGAAAAACACTTTACAATACAAAAAAAGTTGAAATGAAACATTCTAACTAAGTCACAGAATTTCTTTGCACCGTATGATGTGCATATTACAGAGAAGAACAACCAGTGCTCTCGACCGAGAGGCTCAAACTAATACCTACGGATACTGAAGATGTCCAAAAAGGAATAAAAGAACACTTCTTTGTAGTATATTTCTATTACCACAGCCTTTCGGGATTCAAAGATTAATGGGGGGAGGCCAATAACATTTTGTGGACCCTTTAGTATTTATGTCACCCAACAGATGGATACTAATATGCACACCTGCTCTAAACGCAAGACCAACACGCGCCAGGTTCATTCTATCAGCTATAGCGACTGCAAAAGGCCTGTAGCGAATAGCTTATAGGTCAAACACTGAGAGCTTGCAGCCCTCTAGAGGAAGTTTAAAGGCCTCCTGCTGGCAGCCTGTCGCTCAGCCCGGTTTAAACAGGCTTCATTGGGCAGGTCTGTCGCTGGAGGACGAGGCTCGTCCCTGAGATGAAGGGGGTGGAGGAAAAACGGGGAAAAGATGAGGAACATCTATTATTCAGCAAACACGGCTCATCAGACCTGGAAGAAATGCGCTGCTGCTTCTGACGTGATTCGATACCGCCAGGAAAAGCCAAAAGAAGTGCTGTAGATTTCATTTGTGCTTGATATTTAGGAGCAAGCTTGAATGGGTTTATTATCCTTCATTCTGACTATATCTATAGAGAAACCATGCTGTATGTGCAGATTAAAAGGGCTTCGAGCAAAAGACCAGACTTTTGAACTCATGCGACAACACTGAAACACTGATTTGAAATCATTGTGCATTTTTGCCAGACAAAGTATAACGGGAAAGTACTGAAATGTGTGGCAAATGCAGGGTCACAAATGAGAAAAATCAGGCAGTTGTGGTACTGAACTCTGGACATTAGGAGAGGTAATTACAGTATAATGTTAAAATATTGTAAATATGATGAATAATCCCACAAGACATGCAGGAAAAAGCAAATCAGAGGAGCTGAGTAAAAAAAAACACCTCTTTGCCAATACTGTCCCCTGAGGAGAAATTTCCTGTAATCCGTGTTTAAGGAGAAGACAGTTCTGTCCTAAAGAGTAACATTCCATCAAACACCTTTTTTTCTGGATCTTCAAGGACATTCCAGCAAACAGAAGGTGCATGGAAATGCTTGTGCCGTCTCTTATTTTAGCCGAGTGGTCCCACAGGCCACATTCTGTTGTTAATTCACTCTGTTGATTGAGTCATTGTGCAAACGGCCGGCAAATTCAAAGACCACCAATTTGCAGTGCAAATCACATTTTTAATACATCAGTTCATACGCAAGCACTACAAGTAATTTCGCATCAGCCCTCTCATTGTTGGTAAGCATGCAAGACCATGTGACCGTTTGAGGTACTTTGCAGGGAGAACAGAAGGGGTCTTTCAGAACAGAAGAGCCAAAAAGAGGAAAACCATATGCAAAGCACAGAGGATTATGAGTATGAGCAACCGAGAACTCAACCAAAGCGTAATAAGCCCATAAAACAACTTCAAAATGAGGCCTGTCAGCCACTGCAGGGTTTAATCTGCATGAATTCTCCAGCAGAGGGCGCTAGTGAAGAAGGAAACATGCTGTCGGTGATCACTGCCTTAAAAAACAAATCAAAGAGTCTGATGAAGGACCCGTTTTTATTCAAGGTCTGTGGGTGAGAAATCAAATGCACTGCAGCAATGTGAGGGGAATAATGTAGCCGTTTGTAGCGCCAGGAAGTGTTTGTTCACATCCTGCTCTCTCCACGTTGGGAGGTGCCACACCTCTGTTGCGTCATCGACCCAGCCCTGTGTCGGTTTCCTTGTGTGTTTGCCCGTGTGCACCTGAGTGTTATATAAGGGAAGGGAGGGGGCAGCCCCACCCCCATGCCCAGAGGCTAGGAGATCTTACAGTTGCTCCTGGTGCAGTTCTGTGGCGGACTCTGAGGCGGCCGGATGGATTTGGAGCGTTTGAGGCTGTTGCCTTTGCTGCCTCCGGCGGCGTTGGCCAGCGAGTAGGACCGACCGTGCATCATGACGGCGTTCATGCCGTTCGCCATGGAGAATGACTTCAAATGGCTCTTGATGGCTACAGGAAGCGGTAGCTTATCGATTAGGTGCACAGGGGTACAGGAAACGATGGCGCGGCAGCACAAGTCCTGCAGACTGAATACTGAAATGACACACGACAAAACACACACACTTGAGTTACAAAACAAAGGCGATCAGGACATTGAGCGGTTACATAATCGAACCATAAAAACTAAATAAGCAAGCATGAGATACTCCGGGGATTCAATAGTAGCTGCCTCAATGCATCTGCATGCTGAGATCATTTTTTATTCTCTTTACAAAAGTAATGAGAACGTTTTAAATGATTCAACATTCCCTCAGCATATGTTAACACGATGCATGTATTTTTTTTTTTCAGATAGAGTCCAATGCAAATGGTGAGACTCACATGGGAAGCCTGACATGGGAATATTATTTAAGTATTAGAATGCAATCTACTTCTTTTTTTTTTTTTACTCTGGGAAGATGTTTGATATGTTTAGCTAAAACAACAGTGCTGTTAGCAAGGCTTCTTTAACACAGTCAGTGTTTGGGATTGAAACCATATTTACTAACAGCTGTAACTCTTGAATAGTCCTGTTCATGCTACAGTTTATAGGGGGTTCTAAACTTGTAATAAACATGAATGATATCTGTAACTATAGTGAAAAAGCCTTTATGTATAATGCATTTTAAAGGTATTCATAATGTGCATAATTGTAACCAAAGTTAAAATGCATAATACTTGCAGATTTACTTGTCACATCTGAAATGGTTGTTTGTCATGCGTTTTAATGCATATATGTTCTAAAGGAGTAACATACATATTATAATGTATTATAACTGTTTACACAATTATTCACGAGACTATATAAGCTTTAAGTAAAGTGTTATCCAAATAGGTTCATCAATCAAATCCAAATTAACTGACAGCGTTTTCTAAACCAACAGATGGATCTTTTATTTTATTCATAATATAATATAATTAGGGCTGCACGATACTGAAAAAATGAAAAACTTGTTAAACAACCAATAACATAACAGCTCCTGCATGAACAGTCAATGAGAGAGTGTAAATGGCTGACATTTTGAAAGGCATGTTGAAAGCATTTCCCGTTCTCTGAAATGCAGGATACCGCTTCTGCTAAACAGCTCATCTGGGGCACTGCGAGGTCTCATGGGAAAATCCCACATAATAGTGGAAACAGACAGAGAAAGAAGTGCTTCACTGAAAGCCTTCTGCCTCTAATTACGCAGCTCTGGACGACATACAGTGTGGTTTTCTATGCTAATGGAAAACTATGCTGATCGTGCCTTCCTGCATCACCCAGAAGGTTAATGGTAAGATGTCCACTGTATTAGTGGCATTACGGTCTAAAATATCAGGAAGAATATAGGCCTTTTTGTCACTTTTAATGGATTTGAAAGTGAGGAGATGTTGCCGTATCGGTCTATCACTAGTTATCTTATTCCTCTGAATGCTCAGGAGAAAGACTCACCTCTGTTGGGCTTCCAGAACTTCTCCATGCCATGCCTCATGAGCACGATGCGTGAGAGCTCCGTAAACGACTCTATGACGTTGAAGTTACAGAGGGGACTCACTTCGAAAAACGTCATGCCGTTTTTTTCTGCGTACGCCCGTGCCTGTTCTGTGGGGACCTGTCGCTTGAAAGCCAGGTGCAGCCGGTTACCCACAAGAATACGGGGCACACCAGGTGCATGCTGAGGAAAGACAAAGAGACCAGAAAGTGGGTTACAAAAGGGGGACCAGAAAGTTGAGAACGAGGGAGATACACAGTCCTGTCAGACTGAGTGAATCTCAAGCAGTGTCACAGCTAGCCGTCTCATTTATTTATTCAATACGGCCTGTCATATCTGTGCCCTTCTCTAGTCCACAGAGAAAAGAGCACTCTCTAGGAGCTGTACGGGGCAGCCGCAAATGGATTCAAATCAAACCAGAGTCAAGTCTCAAATCTTATTTCTTTGAATCGTGCTCCAAAAAGATGCGAGTCAAGACCAAGTAGGGATGCACAATATATCAGTACCGTACATAACCGTATATATCAATGCTCTGCATACCCAAGCCATTCGTGGACTCGCTGAAATAACATCAATACTATAAATTCCCTTGTTTGAGGTGTCCCATTAAGCTTACATGATAAAATACGTATGTAACTTTCCGTCATTTGTTTATTTGCTTGACGACAGTAATTTTATTCAAATCTGACCAGTTATGGCGGGATTCGGGTAAGTGGATCCACAGCAGCTTCGGCGCCTACGTTATGTACTGGGTAGTCTCAGCCTCAGACGTCACGCCCACGGAACGTTGGCTAAACGTCTGATGCATATGGTACACTTAACTGGAAACACTTCAGGAATGTCGAAGTCGTCATCTGATTGGTTGAATTATATCGGATTTCCGGGGGGCGCGAGTGTCGCGTTTATTTTCGGTCCGCCGGGAAAAAAAGCGCAGACGTGTGATTGCGGAAGAAAAACTGTTGTGTTTACATGAGTGACAATGAGCATTTATCAAGATCAGCTAAACGTAGGATTCTCAAAAGTATGCGATGTTCACGGCATAGACTCTTGAAGTTTTCTTTTCCTTCTTTGATTTTCTATTCTGACTGACTTGTTGCACGCAGGTCTGTTGTTGTGGGGAGATTTCCACGCAGCGAAACGTGACGCTGAACGAAACGATCTGTAATTGGTTGTTTTACATGTCGGTCAAACGGCCTTATGGGCGGGCCTTGGCCAAAGAAAGCTGCTATGAGTTCCAGACCTTCAGCCGTCAGTCTGAAGGTCTGGCTACGCGAGACTATGTACCGGGTTCTCATTGGTTTGCGATATGGGGGTTTTAATGCGCAGGGAAAGCTGTCTGCGAATCACTCGCCCAACAGGAAATTAGATCAAGTGGGGGGGGAAAGTCATAGCTGAAACTATCATAGCATTTCATTTTCTCCACGGGGAAATGTACTTTTAATGAAAACTTATAAACCGTTAAACACAGACCTACTGTAAGTAGACCAACTGCAACTATACGTGGTTGTTAATCGATAGTTTACACGTTTGTTAAAGTCATCTATTTTTCATTATACTTACATTTATTCTAATAATAGTTTACTTATAATATATAAAGGCTACTAATACTTATTATATTATACTTATTTTTAATTCTTAATAAATAAAAAAAACACTTCTGCCATACATTTAAATTGACGCCTGCCATGGTCGTCTCTGATGTAGACGTGTGTGTCCTCAGCCGATGCACCAATTTTTATAATATAATTAAATCTTACTGATAAATACATAGCCAAATGATTAATTTACATTATTACCAGCAATTAAAATAAATAAATAAAATAAAACTATAATGTATACACTAGTAATATAATATGGGGACATATCTACACTACTGTATAAAAGTTTGGGGTCAGTATTTAAAAAAAATATATATATATATTATTTTATTCAGCAAGGATGCATTAAATTGAGCAAAAGAGATCATAAAAACATTTGTATTGTTACATAAGATTTCCATTTTAAATAAATGCTGCCCTTTTCAACTGTCTATTCAAAGAATCTTAAAAAGAAAATTTATCACAGTTTCCAAAAAATAAAGTAGCAAAACATTGATTATTATAATAAATGTTTCTTGAGCATCAAATAATCATATTAGAATGATTCCTGAAGGATCATGTGACACTTAAGACTGGAGTAATGATGCTAAAAATACAGCTTTACCATCACACTATAAATTACACTTAAAAAAAAATATATATATATATATATATATATATATATATAAGTTATTTTAAACTAAATTAATATTTCACAGCATTTCTGGTTTTTTTACTTTGTTTTTTTTTGTGTGTAATTTTGCAGCCTTGTTGAGCATGAGACATCTTTTTAAAACATTTTGAAAATCTCACTGACCCAAAACTTTTGAACTGAAGTGCACATGTTATTATTATATGTTGATTGCTAAACCCGTTTCCTCCCTATACTCATTTGATGCTTACTGAGCAAATCCCTGTACCATGCACCCTTTCAAAGCTCAGCAAGGTCAAAGCTCATTCTGTGTTGAAATGACTCATTATGAATAGTCTGACTCAAGTAACAGCAGCAAAGTCAAAGCACAGCCTCAAGTATTCTAATATTTACCAAAGCAGGTCAAAAGTTCTCAAGTTTAAGTCTCCTGTTCCAACTAATACAACCCTCTTTCTCTCCATCATATGTGTGGTTTGTGCAGCACAGATATGTTCCCGACATGTATCCACTTAATTAAACACAAGAACATACAACTTTCAAACGAGGAAGGAAGGAAGAGACTGTAACAGAGAAGCCTACGAGGAAGGGGGCTGCAGTAAGAGAGGACATCCTCTCTGGATATCAAGCACAGGGCCAGGAACAGGAGGACGAAAGACAAAATAGCTATAATAAATGGAAGTAGGGCTGTATATATATATATATATATATATATATACATACATATACACACACACCTCAATTAAATACTTTTGAAATAAAAAAATAATAATTAACAAGGCTCAAACATTAATTTTGTAACAGACGTGAGTGTTTATTTGAGCATTTCCGTCAGTGAAACAACACACTAAAGCCTGTAAAACATTGAAATAAATATCAGTAAATAATGGTTACCGAAATAATTAGGGCTGTCAAATGATTAATCGTGATTAATCACATCCTAAATAAAAGTTTTTTTTACATAATATATGTGGGTGCACTGTGTATAATTATTTTATATATATAAATACACACACATGCTTGTATATATTTAAGAAATATTTTCATGTATATACTGTATATAGATTTATATATAATTTATATTATATATAAATATAAATATTTTATATATAAATAATATTTTTTTCTTAAATATACATGCATGTGTGTGTATTTATATATATACAAAATAATTATACACAGTGCACCCACATATATTATGTAAAAAAAACTTTTATTTTGGATGTGATTAATCATTTGACAGCCCTAGAAATAATATAAGAAAGTATTATTTAAAGGTGCCCTAGAATGTTTTATTTTTATTTTTTTATAATGTTTCCTGGGTTACCCTTATAATGTTAGTATGTTTTTTAGATAAAAAATAATCATAATTTAGAAATAAATGGCATTTTTCCTAGCCTGCTTTTAGCCTCTGATTTGAACACTCTGTTTGAAGGGGCGTGTCTGCTGTGGGATTCAGTGTAACCGCGGCCACTGCTGTGATTGGCTGACATGCTTGCATATGAAATAGCTACGCATTACATGTGAAACTCTCTCCCGAATACTTTTACTACTGCTATTATACGTTTTTACTATAACAGCTATCGAGATTAACGAATCGTGAGATGTTTTTAAAGTATTTAGATCTATTCCCATCACATAAAATGTTGCCGTGATGAGCATTGAGCAGATGACTGTGTGTTGATCGCAAGAATGAAGATCTAATCATTGCAAAGCAGTTTCTGCACTCTCTCTGCTTTCACCAATGCAAACACGATGATGTAAATACAGTAAGAGCTTCGTTGTGCAGTAACGTGCGTCATTGATTTCATAACGAGTTTGGCAAGTGTCCAGATAAACTCGCGCTGTGTGGAAAGATTGTTCTTTAATCGCTTTCTGTATATAATTTGTTCACAAATTAAATACGATTATTTTCATCCTACTAAAAGAAACGATGTGAAGCTGATATTTTAGTCACTGGCTTGACTTACTGATGCATAAACAGTATTGAACGATTTTGAGAGAAAGATTACCTGTCTGAACTTGAACAATTACTCATCAGAAAGTGTTGCTTGGTAGCTCGATCCGAGGCCAGCTCTGTATTGGCCCAAGTTGAGGAAACACTCGGTGAAATGTTTGGAAATTTCCAGAGAAAATAAAATTAACCCATTGTTTCTTCAGAGGTCCAGATGAAGGAACTAAAAAATACTTTTCTGTTCATGTGTACATCCACACTGAGCAACTGCCATGCTTCGGCTGCGCAGTTCCACCTGGCATTGAGGGCTGGCATTATGCAAATATTTGGAGGCGTACATATTAATGATCCCAACTATTGCGTCACAGTCGGTATTGTGTGGAGAACTGAACAGTCCAGTTTGAGATTCACTCTATGTCATGTCCATGCACTGAACTCTTGTTATTTGACTATACCAAGGTAAATTCAATTTTGAACTATAGGTCACCTTTAAAAAACATTCGTTCTATATTTCCCCACAAGATGCGTCATATAGCCTACCGCTCTGAGCTTTGAGAGGGATGTGGGACACGAGCAGGAAAGAGACTACTCTTTTCTAATGTCTTCATGTTCTCCCCTGATGTTCCGACCCACTAATACTCATAGCAAAAGGTATGAAGAGCGAATTTTATCTTCCGCAGTGCCAAGACATTTAGGCTATGTTTGCTTTTGCGCTGCCAGAGAAAGTGAAACTAAAATCACCGGCGTGTGTGAAATGCGCTATACAAATGAACTTGACGGTCTCGTATCTCTCACGGAGGAGCGGAAGCATGAAGGAGGAGCGACGACAGTGAAGATCTTATGTTGCGTTTTGTTGTATTATATGTGACAGCAGTCGTCTGTGAGGGGCTGCTGTCTTTTACTTTCAATTTGTATGTTTTATTTTGTTATTAAAATATGTTGATTGCTCGCCGGTTCCCGCCTCCTCCTTCCCACAACAACAAGCTACGGCGAGCCAAAAGGAAGAAACATTTATAATTCCCTGTGAAAATGAGAGAGACGCGAGTGAAGATTTGGGAAAAGAAACAAGAGATTCCATGTCCAGTGGAACTAATGGAAAAGCAGATAGCAAAATAGAATACAAAGCTTAAATTTATGGGCTCACGTATCTCTCTTAATCAGCAAGAATCCAAATATTTCCATGGCTGCAATGTAACATTTAATTGCTAACCTATTATTTCTTTTGTAAACAAAGTTTTGTGCTTCACTCGTGTCGTAATATTCACGTAAAACAAATCACATAAAAAAAAAAGTTTACCGGTAAATTCCTAAATGGAAGTTCGGGGAAGCCATTGTGGCTCTCTTTCGTACATCATCAATTACTTGCGTGCAAACTAAACACAATAAACGCTGTCATGTTATCTTGCTTTCAAGATGCCTGATGTTTGAGAATGCAATGGGCTTTATGCACAGCTTCACTACTTCCTGAACTTCAGCCAGCCCTTTGTTTCCTGTCTGTCATTATTGGACAAACTGATTAGTCCAGGTGTGCCTGATTATTGTTACTGAGGCCAGGCACACCTGGATTAATCAGTTTGTCCAATAATGACAGACAGGAAACAAAGGGCTGGCTGAAGTTCAGGAAGTAGTGAAGCTGTGCATAAAGCCAATTGTGTGACTTTTGAGAAGGCATGTGATGAGATTGATCCGCTGGTTAGTAGTTATCCTATCAAATCCTCTATTGAGTTTGCAATATCAAGCAGCATAACAGGCTGTTTTGTACAGCTAAAAATGACTAGAAGCGGATGACACAAGAAGCCAGACACATTCAAGTTACAAAAGCGTTCGCTCTGATGTTAAAAATAAGGTGGATAGCCAACAGAACTATGGGTATAATTGTGTCCTCACTTCCTGTTATCATTCAGAGCAGCTTAATCTTACCTCATCAATCTCCCTGATCCAGCGGTCTATCCCGTCAAATGACCAGCGGTTGGTGATGTCATACACCAACAGGATCCCCTGTAGAGGCCAAACAAACAATGCATTGTTAGCCGGTATCCTGTTCATGCAGTGAGGAGGAGGGGCGTTAACAGACTAACAGGACATGAACTGTGCTCGGCAAAAGCATTTCAACACGCTCTAAGCCCACTGGTGAGAAATGTTCTTGTTCAATTCCAACTTGTGAACTCACCTGAATATAAACATACTGGTCCTTGTGGATTATGTAAACTTGTTTATAGTAAGTGAATGTGTATGCCCTTTTTTGCCTTTGTCTGAGCACTCAGTACAACATCAGACCAAGAACATTAAGTGACACTTTACCTGCGCTCCCCTGGAGTACGACCTGAAAATGGTGCAAAACCTGCCTTGTCCCGAGGTGTCCCTAGAAGCAAACAGAGACAAGTCAGGACAAAAAGACTGTAAATACCATGTCAGTTAAGCTTGACACGTCAAAACATTTCAAATTTCAAAACGCAGTGAGCTGAGGCACAGAGGCATCATAAGCACATTTCTGATGCGAAAGCGGTCCCAAAAGGTAGGCAGAAAAATTGTCCTGCCTTTTAAGTTACCTTCTTTTGGCCACAATCAAATTCTTAGCAAAGGCAGCAATACCTGTGACAAGCTCTTTGAAAAATGCAATATGGCCGAAGAACGAGTGAATCACAATTAAAAATATAGTTACTTACAGAACGTGCTATGCATTTCCTATGCTTTTTAGAGTATAGCACTGCTGCTAACTTAACAACATGCTAATATTAAACTCAAGTCTCCATGCTTCACATAAGGAGCACTATTTGTGTGGCCCTCAGAGTTAATGCCTATGAAAAGCGTTCCAAATCTGTCACTTAAGAGGTTCTATTTCAGGTAGGAAGCTCCCTTAAAAGGCATCTGCCTATGTAGGCAGTAAATAGAAAGGCAGCTCACTTCATTTTTGGAACAAAGCTATCAATTTGAAATCGACACTGTTTTGGACGCTGTACTGAGTTTAGAGTTAACCCAAATACAAGATGACTCAGGCGTTTGTGTTGGCGTCACAGCCTAGAAAAACGAGTTTTCCACTGTGGCACGTCCGCACCCAATATAACCTTTCCAGCTGCATTCACTCTGTGAGAACATTCTCACAGTTAAACTGGCCGTAATTGGCTGGAAAGTGTTAGATATATCTGCATTAAAAAGTCAGAGTGGCCATTGCCTTTTTGAAGTGGTGGGACTGAACCCACTCTTGAGAATGCTGTTTAGCGCTGCACTTCCACAGTCGTATCAGAGAGCCCATCAGATTTACCTGGGAGCTCTGAAAAGTGCGTTAGCAAAGATAGATGTAGGGCGAGATGAAAGCCCTGAGGACAGACTCTATGAGAAGGAATATGCAGTAAGAAGCCCAATTACTATAAAGCATTACATTATATAGCCCAGCACATTACAGCACACCATGGGAAAACCCTCAAGGGTTTTGAGAATTGCTCCTCGGGCACTTACTACACTCTGTGTTAACGCTAATGAGCTTGTTGTTTGTCTTCGTAATGTGTAATTCTGCTGTCTTACAATCCAATGCCTTCCTGATTAGGAAACTTTTCTGTCTCTCTGGGGAAGTGGCTAAATGCTTCTATGGATGTTTAACAGCCTCTCAGTTAATGGAACGTTCTCTTATTTATGATTTATGAGCTCTTGCAATTATGTAATTTTTTAAGTATACACACACACATACATCATATATATATATATATACACACACACACACACACATAACCTGTCAAAAGTTTGAAAACATTACAATTTTTTAAAGTAGGTAGTCTTATATGTTCACCAAGGCTGCATTTTTACAAAAATACAGTAAAAACAGTAATATTGTGAAATATTACAATTTAAAATAACTGTTTTCTATTTTAATATACTTAAAATGTAAATAAATTCCTGTGATGTCAAAGCTGAATTTTCAGGATCATTACGTCAGTCTCAACTTTCCTGCTGAATGGGAAATAACCCAACACTCATATCTGTAAGGTTGATGAACATGATGGGCAGTGATTTATCATTTTGCAAATCTGTCTCAGTGCTTTTTTTTTCAGTGCAATGAGAAGGAAGGCCTGCTGTCTGTGGATTGAAGCCCAACTATAACACACTGACTCTTAACTTAAAGACTGCATTTGCTTTTAGCAGGTGATGCATCATTCTGTCATGAGGGGAACAAGACAGACAAGAGTTGTGATCCACTTACCAAAGCTCTAGTTTCACTCTCCGCCCGTCCAACAGGATTGTGGTGGTCTTGTAGTCGATTCCTGCAGAATGAGAGACAGAGAACACTTAGATAAGACCCTTACCTGTGTATGGTTGTCTACTACTGAAAAGAAAATAAGTCTAGAGAGGATCGGGAACTTGAAAAGCTTCAGGCGTCATGGTGATTGCATTTGGTGTACTACCTAATTTAATTCCCAGCCAATTCTTTCTTTCATTAGAAGGCCGTAAAGCTGAGATGACCATCTTGACAGCACATTCAGTGGAGAGCCTGACAGCTGCAACCAATCTGCTGTTACTTAATGCTATCATAGCAGAAATGTGACCAGGACGCTTCCCATAAGGCGATTATCTTGACTACATTTATCATTCATAAAATGAAAATATGAACAGTACGGGCTCCATTAACTGAATGGCACTATCTGCATTTTCGGTCGCTTCACAGCAGGTCAGCATTCAAACCTGTTTTGCATTTTAATAGACAGCTCTGTCTCTAACAAAGCGTCTCTTTCCATACAGGCCAGTGTGTGTATATATTCACCATGCCAAGAACGCTTGTCTCAGTGAATCATCTTTTTGTCCACTTGAAAAATCTGATTATCAGTAATGCTGACAACACGGACATGGACTACACCTGCCTGGAGTAGCCCGGGAGAGTTTATGAGAGCGGTTTTGGCCATTGCTTCCTCAGGAACATCAGTTCTAGAAAGGAAATCAACTTTGTTCCTCTCTGATTAGAGGAAAAAAACAAAGTCACACCCTTCTGTAGTCTATTCCACTTTGATATCGGCTGTTTACTTCCTGCAAAGACAAAACAAGTGGGGACACAGCAGAGTAGGGCTGCATGACTAATTGCAATATTTCTGATAAAAATTGTAATTACAATTTAAACTTTTTTTTATTTTTATTTTTATCTCCAGCTTTGCTGCGCTTGTTTGTAGGGCTGGCCAAAACTTTTGTCATTACGCTAAATCCTATACTGCTGTTTTACAAAACAAAAAGAATAAGAATAATAATAGTAGTACAATAAAATTGCTATTATTATCATTAAATTAAAATAAGAAATATTACTATTGCAATTTATTGTATTTTTTTACAGGACATCTATAAAATAATAATACTAATACTTATGGCTATCTTAATTTCTTCATTTTCGAATGTCAAACCATTAAGTTTTTATTTGGCAGAAAACCGCAGGGAGACCCTTAAAGTTTCTCTTTTGTTGACAAAAGCATGTCAAGTCACAATTTTGAGTTTTGATTTTGATTAATCATGCAACCCCAAAGCAGAGGCTTTAAAATGGAGAAAGGTTAGGGCAAGGATGGGCGGGCATCCATATTTTTTCCGACAGATGTCGGCTGGTTCTGAGCCCATAGGCTTCGTCTGTCCTCCATTATTAAACATCTACAAGAGAATGTAACAAGAGGGAAATGACTTGCACTTAAAAAGAACCACTAGGGCTGAGTTCCTGCTGCTCTCCATCCTGCAAAAAGCTTTGCTCTTAAGCAGGGCAGCACATCAAGCCAAAGGCGCATCACACTTCCTTCCTCTTGTATCCCTCCTCCTTCGTTCTGGGTAAGTTTATGGGCAGATGACAAGGGCAGTGCAGTGTAATTATCATCTCAGGTTCCAGCTCCGGGCTGCAGGCCAAGACTTCCCAGCCTGAAGCGGCTAGTTTTGAGGAAGAGCCTGGAAGTGAAAGCTCCAGCAGGACTTGAGGACACCTGAGAGGGATTGAGTGGACAGTGACACACGCGGGCATGTTTAATTCAATTTAAACAGCCTATTATCAATGGTTGGTGGAAAACATAAATTGCTTACAACTGGAGAATGTAGAAGCGTTGGATTTCTTCAACGCAGGAGGCCTTTGCTTTTAGAGCATGTCTTTGTGTCTCATTGGTGTGCTTGCTCAGAACACATTCAGACAGTCTGAATAGCAACGTGCCCAGCTACGCTCAGGAGCCAGAACTGGGTGCGTGTGAGTTTGAAAGTAATTTCAAAGACTGTGAGCGCATGAGAGTAATGAAACTAACATGCCTGAGGCTGAGAAAGCTAGAAAAGCTGGTTTCACTGAGACCCTGCACTTCAACAGTAGCACAGAACATGACTCTATGCTGACTTCCACATCTGATCATAACTTTATCATTCATCAGAAGAAATGCTGATACTCTCTTTTTACAAAAAATTGAACACAATAAAAGCAGTTTTATAATGATGTTTTAAAGGTTTGCTCCAACAACGTATTCAGACTTACTGAGGTTTAGCTGCAAATCTGACTTCAGGCCTTAATTTGGTAAAAGGTCTAATGAAAACTGACTACAAATATGATAGGAGGGATAGCAGTGATTTTGTACCAGGACTGGGGAAATGCTACATATTTTCAAAATGGACTGGACAACTAATTGGTCTTAAAGGGATAGTTCAACCATAAATAAAAATTTATGTAATTATGTTTGCCGTTCCAAAACGGATTGACTTTCTTCTGCGGAACACAAAATAAGATATTTTGAAGAATGTTGGCAATCAAACAGTCTATTAATATATATATTTTTATGTTTCAAAGAAGAAATAAAGTCCTACAGGTTCGAAATGACATGGGGTTGAGTAAAATAATACAGAATTCTAATTTTTAATGATGATTTTAATGGTTAAACTAAAGATGATCAAAAGTGGCAGTAAAGACATTTATAATGTTACCAAAAGCTGCTTTTCCACCATCGGGCCGAACGGTTCTTAAAACAGTAAGAACTGGTTCCAGTTGTATTTCCACTTGAGCCTGGTAAGGCACGGCATGATTACAAACTGTGCTCAGCCCGGATTTCTCAGAACGGTTGGCTAGACGGAACCGTGCTGGTAGGATGTGTGTAGTGATGCCGCCACTCAGGATTGGTCACTTCACTTGTCTGTTGCCTCCCTACCAATTTCTCACAGATTAATAATAAAATTAAAAGAAATATCTGATCATCCTCCATAATGGTTGCTATTTACATCTCATATCGTCTGTAAACTGTTGCATTACCAAGGCAATGACTGGAGCATTTGTATTTAGGGCTGCAACAACTAATCGATAAAATCGATAATAAAAATCATCGACAACGAATGGCATTCTCGTTTAGTCACGTCTGCCGACCGTGTACGTTAGCGTAATTTTTAACATAGCTTGCCCTGTCAGCCGCGCTTTGACAGTGTGTTGTTTAATGTGTGATATGTTTCCTCAGCACAGAATTTTAATTTTACGGTTATATCCGTATAGATTTGTGGGGACGTGTTTGAACGAAGCGTTTTAGGCGTTTAATTTTTACAAAGAATCTCTCTTTGCGTTTGAGACTTTGAGCTTTGTAATTCTGCAGATCTTATACATGCACAAACAGTTACATAACACACTAAAGAAAAAGGAAAACAAGAAATCTCATCATCATATGACCCCTTTAAGCAAAGAGAACGGTTTGGCCTGACAGTGGAAAAGCGTCTAAAGATTTCTATTAATACATGCTGTTTTTGAACTCTCTTTTCATCAGAGAATGCTGGAAAAAATGTATCACAGTTTCCACAAATATGAAGCAGCACAACTGTTTTCAACATCGATAATAATAAGAAATGTTTCTTGAGCATTCAATCAGCATATTAGACTAATTTCTGAATGATCATGTGACACTGAAGACTGGAGTAATGATGCTTAAAATTCAGCTTTGCATCACAGCAATACATTACATTTTAAATCTATGAAAATATAAAAGTTACAATCCCACTATTTTTACTGCATTTTTGATCAAATAAATGCAACCATGGTGAGCAAAAGAGATTTCTTTCAAAAACATAAAAAAATCATACCAAACCCAAATTTGTGAATGTACTTTAGATGGGATCTTGTGTTCATAAACAGTTAGGCGAAGAGCAACAAAATGGAATCAAATTGGTCTTGAGATGCATTTTTAAAAGTTGTTCTATTTATAACTTGACAGACGGTCTTAAAAAACACTGGCGGATAGGGGATAAATTCAAAGATGCAAGTTTCTGAGGGTCTTACCTTACCAACTGTCAAACAACTAAATTATACTGCCAGAATACTAAAGCACATACAAATAATACACATACTATTTAAAAATGGCGGGGTTATTCTGGATACTCCATCTGGCGCGTGCAATGATGACGCAGATTCTCTGTGACCAATCAGCAGTCGGCATTGTTTTCACGTCACATTTTAGTATCGGCTTAGCTCGCCTCAGCTCGCTTAGAACCTCGCCGGAGGTGGTACGAAAAAAAGTACCCGAAAGCAGGTACAGGTACAACTTTTACACAGTGGAAAACCAAACAAAGGCGAGTCGAGTCGAGTCGAGCCGAGCTGGTACTGTGTAGTGGAAAAGCGCCATAAATTATACTGCTAGAATACTAAAGCACATACAAAGCACAGCCACTAAACACAAGTTTTGTGCTCAAGAAAAAGATAAAATAGACAAATCTCACTAATCAGCCAGTTGGTTGTTGGTAGTCGACCACACTGACCCGTCCGTAATACTGGACACCAAGTGGCAACCAAAAAACCAAAAATTATCATGAACTGCAAAAGTCCAATAATATACTAAATTATTAATTTTGATGAAATTCAACAGTTTTATGGTCTTAGCAGTAATAATACACCAAACAAAGCACAAAAGATATGGGAAAGAATATACATATTTTTCCTCTTTTAAAGAGCAATGCGTCCATTTATTATGCTATGCTAAAAACACACAATTACATAGTTTGTTGCATTTTACAATTATTTTATTTGCATCGCTGTTTCCTCACTGTCCGTGTGTGATAGATGTTTGCTGAGCCACGGTATGGTCAGTCTTGTTCTTTTTTTTATGTATATTACACAATTATAGTAGCAAGTTAAATGTCACAATAACATTATTTTGGTTTAATCTACTTTATTTGAACATTCATTTGGAGTTAAGTGCGCACAATCTTTAACGAGTAGTTCGATGGGTTTATTCTTACTGTTCTTTTTTTTCTTGTTTGTTATAGCTGAGTCCTGTGAGCTGGTACACCGTCAAAAGGGGTTTGTGTGGTAACTTTGGACGTACAGTATATGTACTGTTCCAGGCAATGATATAGCCACAACCAATCCTTTTTCTGCTGAGGGGACTCCAAGGACAATTTTTTTTGTTTGTTTTTTTACTGGGTATATTGGATGTTTTCATATTTGTTTATTTTGAGTAATGGCCATTATGTATGCTTCTCCCCTTTTGTGTTCATTTGTGCTGCCCACCAATGTATAAATTCACTAGCTGTGTATGTAAGTTGTAATTGTGTTCTATGACATGGTTCTGTAGTCTCTAGACCTCTGTGTGCAATGACCTATCTTTAATGTATACGTTTCTTTATTTCTTTACTTGTTTTTCTATTATTCCTTTTTTTACTTTGGTTTAGTTCAGTTAGCTTGCCATTGCTTTGCTTTTTGACCCCTAAGTGTTTGCAGTAACCTGCTGCCTCAGTGTTCTTTGTCCCTTCACTGGTCACATCTAACACAGTGACCCAATCGAAACAGAACAGAAAGAAAATGAAAAGTACTGTTTAATGGAGAAAAACACTCTATCATGGTTATATTGCAATCACTGTGTTTGTCTGAGCCAAATCCATCAATCACTAGCAGGCCAACCAAGATGTCTGCATCTGCAACTTTAGACTCTAAATATTTACAGATGTCCACTCAAAGCCAGCGCAAAGACAAATCAATGAGAGTAAACACCACAGAACCAATTTATAAGAATACAGACTGCTAAATTTAAAACCAACAGCATAAGGTGTTTTAACAAGGCTTCTCTGAACTCATACAATTTTTTATTTGTCATTTAGCTAAAGCATTGTAAAACGTAGGTGACTGCACATAGGCTATATATATATATATATAAATAATATATATTTAACTCGTTTTGCTATATATATTTCACTCGTTTTGCTTTTGAATGAATATTAAGACAAATATATTATGAATGATAATAAGAAGTTAATTTTATCTACACATCAACTCAAGCTCAGTGCTTTATTGTCAGCTCCCCAGTGCTACCAAATACTTTCTGTAGAACTTAGTAGCTCCGGTGCCGCTGCCCTCAAATGTTAGTCTGGAGCCCTGTGAACTTAAAATAAAACTGCACATTGTAATTTCTGTACGATAAGTCTATTTATTACCAAAACATTCGTCAGTAATACAGTCAAAATGGGGGAAAATATGAATAACTGCATTCCAGGTTGATTTAAGGTGTGCCCCTAAATTTTCTGCTTGTCCTCCTAAAAAAATTTCAGTAAGGGGCTGTAGTGCTCCTAGTAAAAAAAAGTTAGTCTGGAGCCCTGCCTTATAGGGTTTGAGCTTATGACCTTTCGGTTACCAGCCTAGATCATTAACACCAAGTCTACACCGCCCTCATGTCCTCCTAAAAACATCTAAAAGCAGTTTTATTCTAGTGGTCAACAGATATTGGTTTATTTGATGGCCGATGCCGATATATATATATATATATACACACACACATATATATAGACTTTTTATTTATTTAAATTACTATTAAACAAATAAATAATTTGAAAATGAATTAAAAATAAATCTCTAAATTAAACAGACTTACTTTTAGATGGCAACTTCTTGATTCTGTAATTGTATTACAGTATTTTCACAAATAAAGAAATTGTTTGGAAAAATATGAATAAAAAGGAAGTACACACTGTAACCAACAGGGCACTCAGTAATCTGGTAAGTTTGTTCTCACTGGGAATCATATGGGGGTTTTTTTCCGGGTAACAAATTTTACATTGAGCACAATGAAAATTACATGAATATGACATTTAATACAGTACAGCATAGTTTGAAATCAAGGGTTTAAACTTTAAAGTTTATCTTTTATCGTCAGTGAAGCTGAACTGACCGTCACGCACAGAGTAACACATTCATGAAGGCTACAAATGCCCACTTTGAATCTGAACAACTGGATTCGACTAAGTCTGCAAGGTTTGTGAAATTAAATGTTCATTATATATTCAAAGATTTGTTTAAATGATATAAATGCATACTTGCTGAATGCTGATAGTAAATCAGAAAGTATTATAGTGTTTACCTTTCTGTTAATAATAATATAAAAGCAAACACTATAACGCTTTTTTTGCATACAGTTTATTTTCTTTGTTTAACAGTTCTAGTAATGTATTAGACAAAACATAGATCATAAACAATGAAGACAGAGAATAAGAGCGCTGGCTCAGGCGCTGCCGTTCTCAGAGCAATCAAAATAAAAGTCCCACTTCCAACACGTCGGCCAAACAGAAAAACTTAACACCCAATGCCGATATTTAAAAATAAAATAAAAAAAAATAATAAAAAAAAATATCGGCCAATATGTTGGCATGGCAATATATCGGTCGACCCCTACTTTATATAATGAGATGACGTTTTTAAACCATAAAAGGAACCATTCTTGGCTTTAATACTTCACCTTGCTCACAGCCAATACTGCCAATACCTCCAGATACCCTATGTATAATTCATTAAAAAAGCCTTTCAACATTAAAACAATCTGAGCACATCAGGATGGCATCTCCTCTCAGGGATGTATACAAGCCTGCAGCGGAAATCACCAGCGCTGCATCCACGGACTGCTAATGGAGCCATCGGTGTTGATTTTGAGGGATTGCAAGGCAACTCTTTTGAAGCTGGACCAGCAAGCTCCCAAGAACACTTCAGAAAACAGCCATCACTGTGAGATCTCTCACACCCATAGAACACACTGTTCCCCGACAAGATAAACAGTAGCCCCTAAAAAAGGGATATTAGCGACCCAGCTCACATGAGGCTCATCTGGATATGAAAGGCATATCGGTCTATAATTGGTCTATCACCTCACTGGCTTCAGCCTAATGACAGAGCGTGGATGATCTCATCTCATCACAGCCGATGGAGAGCCTTTAAATAAATCAAATAAAAAGAGCTTGTGTTTAAAACTGGTCTTTACAGTGTGCTGTACTGACCTGTTCAATGAAAACAGACACTTCCAACTTCTTAGTCATGTTTACTTGTGTGTTTTGTATCCTGAGGGAAATCTCTGTGCTGGAACACTCACCGAAAACATCTAGTACAATCTTAACTAATAAATAAAAGAGTTCAACCAATACTGATTTTTTGACCAATACTAATACAGATTATTTTTGATAGCATCTCAAAATTACAGATAATGGGTGTATGACCAATATTCATTCCACACACTTTGTAGGTTAAACTGTTATTGATTCCACAGAAAAATGACACCATTTGAAAGAATAGCACCCAACGACAAAATTCAGCAGTAAGTATCTGTATTTTTGGATAATTATTCAACTCTTTAAATAGCAGTCATTCATTGTGAAAAATGTGCAGATTAGACACAGCCATAAACAAAATAAAGAAGAGAAAATAAACTTGCAACTACTAAGATCAAAATAACTTTGCATAAATAACAGAATGTTATAAATATTCCTTAAAATTAATATTACTTCATTATTAACGAGTAAAATGTTTAGAATACACATTGGGTGTTGATTTCCCCCATGATCATTATTATTGTGAAAAAATAAAACAAATTTTAATTGGTTCTGCCGGTTATCAGGTACTTGTCGTCATAAAAAAAATCAATATGGGTTGATCTCTACTCATTATCCATATCCAATAAGCAATGTGTAGAACTGATTTAAATGATTGTTTTATTCCTACTTTTAACACAATGATACTAAATGGTTATTATACTACAAAAATAACACATCATTTGCATAATTAATATTTTATTAATATTGTTATATTATTATATTATGCAAAGTTGATCTGCGATCTAGAGGGTCACAAATGTATTTTTTTGTCATTGTTTAAGCTACGTCGAATAGCTACACATTTCTTATTTGAAAATAAATGGCTACTTTTAAAAAAGTTCAGGGTGCAAAAGAACCAGCACCTAAAGAAGTGTAATAAATAGCAAAGTTTCAGCTTTTTATATTTTTATCAACAACTGTTATATCCATACCATGAACAATCACACATAGTCAATCAGTAAATCACTCAATCATCTAATAAATGTATCATTTATCCATCAAGCAATAACCAATTAAACTGAGAAGTGTGAATATTGGTTAACAATACTGTATAAAAACGATTATCAGACATCCACTAAAAAACTGAAGTGTATGTTATACAACTACTGAGCGGAAAATGTGCAGCTTTTATATAACAATCTGATTGGGCAAATGTGAGAATTACACAATCCTCCAAGAGATAAACAGAATAATAAACTATTATCAATCACATGCGTTTCCACCTCCTGTAAGTCACTGACACTGCAATATGGCACCCACAGAATGACTCAGCATAAACACAAAAATAATATTGACTGTGCTATTTGGAAAACCTGTTAATACAACTATTCTCTGAATGGCTCACAGTGAGTGACAGCCTTGATCTGAGATCATTCTGGCTGAAGGATGTGTTACTCGCATTCTGCGTGAAGAAGATGTGTGGGATGTGTTGATTAACTCACCACTGCTGTAGGCATATGGAGACTCAGCAGATCCATCTTGAAGGCTGTCCAGAATCTCTCCTTTTCCCACATCGCTGTCTCCCACCAGGAGGAACTTGAGCAGGTAGTCGTAGCTCTTCACAGGGCTGCCCTGGGTGCCCATGATCGCTCACATCAGAGCCAGACTGAGAGCAAAGGATAGGAGACAACTGTGTGTGTCCCTCTCTGATGTCAAAGATGGGCCCTGGATCCTCCAGAGCTTTGGGGGTCTGAGTCTCTTGTGTCAGGTCTATCTTTAAATGGGTGTCAGGCCAAATCAGCAGACAGACCAAATCAAACCATTTCCCACCCGTCCAGTCCAGACCCGGAAATGGTTTAAAGGGTACAGCCTTGTGTCCAGCCGTATTCACTCGTCCAGTCTAAATATTGTAAAATAATATGGATCATCAATGCATGCATACTTTATTGGCTGGCAAACTGAACAACTAGGTTGTTTACATTTCTTCCGACACGCTCAAATCATCGTTACTGACAAGGAATGAAAATAAAACGCGTAAAAGTCTCAAAACAATTTAGCAAAACATCTATTGTCTCATGGCAAATTATTGCTATACGTTAATAGAAAAGCAATGGAGCTATCAAGCTAGTGCATTGTTAGCATGCGCCTGCCAGCCTGTCAATACAAAGAAATAATCTCATCACAATTTTATCTCATAATCACCTGCACGGTTCTGACAATATTAACAATAAGAAATGTATATTTGTTATCGTAAAACTAATTAAAATACATTAAAGACGAGCCGTTGTTCAGGTGGAGTAACACAGCATCGGCTAACGCTACTAGCAATGAGCCCTAGCGCGTCAAAAACAAGCGCACAACATTGATTTTATATCACAGTTAAGGGAATAAACTTCTCACAATCACAATATGTTCCTGCTGCAATTTGATGTTAGAAAAACTTCAGCCTGACAGAAGGAAGAAGGATATCCACATTCGCGCTCCAGTTAGCTTGAGCAGCCGATGCTAGCGCGTCTGGCAGAAATCATGGCTCCATTTCTGTTTTTCTCTGAATAACAAAGATTCATGTGAGATCGCGCTGCTCGTCTCGGGACCTCTGCGCGTTATCAGTCGCTTCTGGGGCGAGGCGCGGTAAGTGAGGGATTAAACAATAATCCGATAGACCCGCAGGTTATTATTGCTTGTGCTGTAAATGCTCTCGGATATCCAAAAATATGTCCCATGTTCTCTCACAGAGGAGAGATCACACACACTGTCACGCTGAGCTTTCACCTCTGCGTACTACTGCGCTCTGACTGACTGTACCTCCCCCTACACACACGCGCGCACGCACACACACAAATATTTTATTAAAATGAATAAAACATAAGTATTTTAAATATTTTGATATAAAATTAATACAAATAAATTGTTTTAAAAATACCTTTACGGTTTGGAGGATAGATAGATAGATAGATAGATAGATAGATAGATAGATAGATAGATAGATAGATAGATAGATAGATAGATAGATAGATAGATAGATAGATAGATAGATAGATAGATAGATAGATAGAGAGTAAATGACAGAATTTTCATTGTTGGTTGAATTATATTATTTTAAATATACCTTTTGAAAATCAAATTGGATAGTGTTCACCTTCTGGTCACAGTGCTTATATTACAGGTTGCTGCTCGTGTGACAGATGCAGGAGGGTTAATGTGACAGAGACAAGCCAAAGGTCTCTGCACTTTCAGGGAATCATCAAACGAAGATAATACCCCTCCCCCTGAATAGATTAAAATGCAAATTGATATATAAAGTCTTTGTGTCTGCCCATTGAGATTAGAGCTACATGAGGGTCTCAAGAGAGACAAGGGGACATCTGGACCCTGCATCAAATTCTATACCAGCCATTAAAACCATAAACGCTCACCCCCCATCATATACATAATGGTGCTTGTTCTCCTAGGATGAGATTTGAGAAAGCTGTTTTGAATAGAATTCTATCAATTTCCTTTGTCCGTTAATGTATAGAGAGCTTCTCAGGTTCCAATAAATTATCATAATATATGACCATACACTGTATAACATAGGCACATACTAATATGTGACTATACAAAATACAGATAAACTTTGCCCTATCTTTCTATCTATCTATCTAAACAGGAAATAAACTGTAATAAATTCAATTTTGACTACCCATCTTTGTGTCAGATACACACACAAAGGTGTTATTCCCTCAACACAAACATGCAGGTGAATCCCCAGCTCATTTTTTTTCATGTGTCATTGAATAGTCAGTTGCCACAGCAGTCATTGTTGTATTGTGCTCTCAAGTCTAGTCTGAGCACATTCTTCACAGGCTGATCCAACACTAGTATGTTTCTGAAAATGGGTCAACTTTAAATAGCAATTGTTTATAGTGCAAACATGACTCGTATAAGAATTATTTAAAAAGATGCACAAAGATACTGTAACGTGTAAAATGATTAAATAAACTTTATTGAGGTAAATTAAGGGTTTAAAAATGAACATCAGAAATGTATATTTTGATCATGATCATCAGAATCTATACAAATAGTGTTTTTATTAAATCATTTATATTAATAACAGTAGCTACAAAACAACATTGATTTGGCAACACTGACATAACACGCGGTTCATGGTCAAATAATTTAATACACAAATCTATATTTAAACTCAACACGAGAGCCAGTTCACATAAATCAGCTGGATTAGACTCATACAACTTTAAACACATGAATTTGATAAACTTCTACAAGTCATTCCCTTTCCATCTCATGAGAGACAGCAAAAAACTGAAGAGAAGTCAAAAGTTTTACTTCCAGTTCAAATGATCCTGATGAAATGATGGTTTTGATATAATGACTAGTCTTAAAATTACATTTATTTTTAAAATGGCACATCTTCAATGTTATACAAAAGTAGTAGAAGAATAAATACAAAACATAATCACAGTTTCAATCAAAGATTCTGGTCAGTGTCTGGAAAAGGAAAGATTATTATTTAAATCAACAATGTAGGATTATTTCCATGAAAAACCTAATTAAGACTATCTTAAAAGTCAGTGAAGTCTGACCAACACAGCACCTTCTCCCAGTGTGCAAATGTCTAGCTGCTGACTTCTAGGGGGTCTTGCAAGATCCCCAAAAAGTTAGTCTGTCTTAGTAGTCTTCTGCTTCCAGGGGTAAATGAGTTCTCCTACAAACAGTTTCTTGGACAATGCGGCCCAGGAATCCTTAGGGTAACAGCTATAGGTGGGTGTCCGGTAACACTGCAGTACAGAGCTGAACTTTAATGGGTTGATCTGAAGATGGAGAGAAAAGAAAAATAATTGTTTGCTCATCCGGAACATGATTCATTCAAACCTCAGAGACAAGTAAAGCACATCCACACAAACACTTTGCACTGATTATGTATAAAACAACAAACTGCACAGTGAGCCAAACAGAGCTATTCAATAACCCATCCCACAAAATCAACATCAAACCCAAACCTTAACTGAAACCCAAGCATAAATAAACTACAGGATGACATTCTGTTTAACCAATAACCAACCTACCTCCATCATCAGGTGAAGAGGAGTTCCTGGCTCCTGACAAAGCACCTTGAATTTAACCCCCTCTGGAATCCAAAGAGATTCATAATTACTAATTATGTCACTTACTGTACTTTACTAATTGATCAGTTATATAGACACATAATTGGCAAGTACAAGGCCTAGAAGTACATTTATAATTTAATCTTTATCATCAATAAAAAAAAAACTGGTCAAAAGTTATGAAAGTTTTCTTTCTTCAATGTTATACAGTATGGCTCACCTGCCAGCCTGTACGGTCTGCAGATACGTAGGCCAATGGCAAACAGGGGGAAGGAGTTGATGAAGTCGACACTGAGGTGAATCACACCCTGAAACAACACCACTACCAGCCGGAGCTAGAAACAGACAGGGAAACAACTTACACATCATAACAACTCATGTCTAAGAGATTTTTAGATTTATGATTTATTACTTATATTAGAGACATTTTACATCTAAAGTTGAATTTCAACCTCACATTTCTCTGCTATTTGCTTTATGTATTATGCATTAGTAGAGTATCAAGCGCTACGGCACAGCCATGAACCAATACATTCAGTAGACTTGTATTAGAACAATCTACAAAACCAGTAAAAACCTGTTACGTGCACTACAGTTTAAAAGTGTGGGATCAGTAGGTTTTTTAAAAAGAAATTAATACTTTTATTCAGAAAGGAAGTATTAAATTGATCAAGTTGCAGGAAAAAGTGACTGTAAAGACTGTAAGTTAGTTACAGTTACAGTTGTTACAAAAATTATATTTCAATCAAATGCTGTTCTTTTGAACTAGTCACCAAAGAAATCATGAATTTTTTTTATCGGTTTCCACAGAGAAAAATTAAGTAGCAACTGTTTTCAACATTGCTAATAATAAGAATTGTTTCTTGAGCAGCATATCAACATATTAGTATGATTTCTGAAGGATCATGTGACACTGATGACTGGAGTAATGATCCTGATCAGAGGAATAAATTACATTTTAAAATATATAAAAATAATAAACAGTTATTTTGATCAAATAAATGCAGCCTTGGTGAGCATAAGAGACTTCTTTAAAAATAATAATAATGATAATTCCTACCGACCCCAGACTTTTGAACGGTAATGTACAGGCAAAAAACATGATCAAGAGCTTAAGACTTTACAAGTGTGAAATTAGCAGAGAACTGGATCAGATGCTCCAACGGGACTGGAATAAGGATGAAGTTGAAACTCATGTCAGAGTGACTCACCAGGGTAAAGACCAGGTAATACAGGGCAGTGGTGGGAAGCAGGAACAGCAGAATCGTAAAGAGCAAAGTGCCAATGAACAACTGCGAAGGAAAGACAGCAGAGTCAATCATGTTCTGTAAGGTTGTGTTGAATAGCTAGTACATGAATGAGGGATATAAAAAGTTTGCAAGAGGAGATGCACCTGGTCCAGGTCGTATGAGCACGAGTCAACCCGCTGCCTCAGTACATTCCATTTCTTTCCCCTGAAAAGTCGCCACAGGGAGGAAAGACCATAGATCTTCAGACAGTACAGCCTGACCAGAGAGAAAAGAAAGTACAATTCACAACAAAGAAACTGCAATTCTCAGAAAAGATTAGAAGCCCTCGAATGTTGTGTAATAGGTACATAAAATCCTCAAGACTGTAAATAAAGATGGCAAGTAACTGACCAGACAGATTTTGAAATATAACCTCAAAGAGACAGTACACCCAAAAATTGACCCGCAAAACCTGTATAACTTTCTTTCATGTGTGGAACATAAAAAGTCACTTTTATTCCAACAATGGTGACCTCAGCGGTCCCTTTAAGTGGCCCAATGTAATTATAAAGGTTGAAAGATTGAGACTGCCCTCTACTGGAAAACGCTGGAAGTGCATGAACATGACAGTTAGTTAGAAAACTACATGCAGAAATACAGAATTGAACCTCACCTTGCCCCATACACATAAAAACAGTAGATGTGAAAAGTCAGGAGGGCCACAATGTCGGACAGTATGGAAAGAGCAAAGGTCAATCCCAAGCAGGCTGAGAGTCCAACATACCACAGGATCCCCTCAATGAAAGGAGACATCAGGTGGATGTAACCTGCCGACAAAATCACAAGACATACATGAGCAGCTTCTGTAATAAGTTTAAAACAACATGAGAGCGCCTCAACTGAGGATGTACTTACTGATCCACAGATGGATGTGATAGAGGAAGAATCTCCCCAGCACCTGGTCGAGAGCTCTGTTCATCTTCAGTCCAGCAGGAGCTCCCATCAGCCATTCTAACAGCTCCTGGAGCTCTTTAGCCACACGCTGCGAGATTAGTTTTTTAAAAGAAATGAATACTTTTATTCAGCAAGGATGTGTTAAATTGATCAAAAGTGATAGTAAAAGCATTTATAATGTTACAAAAGATTTCTATTTCAAATAAATGCTGTTTTTTCTGAACCTTTTCTATTCGTCAGAGAATCCACAAAAATATTAGGCAGCAGCACAACTGTTTTCAATAATGATGAAAGTTTCTTGTGCAGTAAATCAGCAAATTAGAATGATTTCTGAAGGATCATGTGACACTGAAGACTGGAGCAATGATGCGGAAAATTCAGCTTTGCATCACAGGAATAAATTACATTTTAAAATATAGTGAAATAGAAAACAGTTATTTTAAATTTTAGTAATATTTCAGAATATTATTGCTTTTACTCTATTTTCATTAAATTGTACTCAATTTTTTAATTAGATCCTCAAAAGTAATGTTATACAGTATGTGTCATCATACTTACATCTGCCACAGGTACCAGAGTATCGGCTAATTTGCTGATACGATTCTCCCTATAAAGCCACGAGACAAGCAGCAAACCAAGGGCTATGTCCACAAGAAAGGACACAAAAATGTTTGCTTTTCTGCAGAAGAGTGAAAAAAGAAGGGTATGAGATTATGTTATAACAATAATATAATATAACAATAATGCCATAACATGATACATCGTACAAAAGCCACATGCGTTTTAAAAATGTCATCAATTACTCACGCTCATGTCTTTCCAAACACCTAAGACTTTTGTTCATCTTCGAAACCCAAATTAAGATATCTTTTATAAAACCCGAGTGATTTCTGTCCCTCCATTGAAGCTCCATTGAACCATGGAAGCTCAAACGTGCTGCGTAACACGAGAATGAACATCATTGGTTCTCGCACGTCAAGCGAACATGCTTGAGCTTCCATTTACCACAATTGATGTGTGAGTTGATGAATGCTAATATGTGAATAAAAGCCTAAATTCAATATGTTCAAAACAAAATATTCAAAACAATTATGTCTCTTCAGAAAATTTGGACTGCTGTCCAATTCACGTGGATTAGTTTTACGATCGTATGAACTTTTTGAAGAATCAAAGTGGTAGTTAAGTAGCTGGCAACGGAGAGACAGAAATTACTCAGATTTCATCAAAAAGATCTTCATTTGTGTTTCAAGATGAACGAAAGTCTTACAGGTTTGGAACGACATGAGGGTGAGTTAGTACATGAATGAAATGTTCATTTTTGGGTTTTAAAGGTGCCCTAGAATGTTTTTTTTTTATTATTTTATAATGTTTCCTGGGTTACCCTTATAATGTTAGTATGTTTTTTAGATAAAAAATAATCATAATTTAGAAATAAATGGCATTTTTCCTAGCCTGCTTTTAGCCTCTGATTTGAACGCTCTGTTTGAAGGGGCGTGTCTGCTGTGGGATTCAGTGTAACCGCGGCCACTGCTGTGATTGGCTGACATGCTTGCATATGAAATAGCAACGCATTACATGTGAAACTCTCTCCCGAATACTTTTACTACTGCTATTATACGTTTTTACTATAACAGCTATCGAGATTAACGAATCGTGAGATGTTTTTAAAGTATTTAGATCTATTCCCATCACATAAAATGTTGCCGTGATGAGCATTGAGCAGATGACTGTGTGTTGATCGCAAGAATGAAGATCTAATCATTGCAAAGCAGTTTCTGCACTCTCTCTGCTTTCCCCAATGCAAACACGATGATGTAAATACAGTAAGAGCTTCGTTGTGCAGTAACGTGCGTCATTGATTTCATAACGAGTTTGGCAAGTGTCCAGATAAACTCGCGCTGTGTGGAAAGATTGTTCTTTAATCGCTTTCTGTATATAATTTGTTCACAAATTAAATACGATTATTTTCATCCTACTAAAAGAAACGATGTGAAGCTGATATTTTAGTCACTGGCTTGACTTACTGATGCATAAACAGTATTGAACGATTTTGAGAGAAAGATTACCTGTCTGAACTTGAACAATTACTCATCAGAAAGTGTTGCTTGGTAGCTCGATCCGAGGCCAGCTCTGTATTGGCCCAAGTTGAGGAAACACTCGGTGAAATGTTTGGAAATTTCCAGAGAAAATAAAATTAACCCATTGTTTCTTCAAAGGCCCAGATGAAGGAACTAAAAAATACTTTTCTGTTCATGTGTACATCCACACTGAGCAACTGCCATGCTTCGGCTGCGCAGTTCCACCTGGCATTGAGGGCTGGCATTATGCAAATATTTGGAAGCGTACATATTAATGATCCCGACTATTGCGTCACAGTCGGTATTGTGTGGAGAACCGACCGTTTTTCAGGGGTGTTTTTCATAAACGTGAATTAAATGAGAACGCGAAAACAGTCCAGTTTGAGATTCACTCTATGTCATGTCCATGCACTGAACTCTTGTTATTTGACTATACCAAGGTAAATTCAATTTTGAATTATAGGTCACCTTTAAAAGATTTTTCTTTTTCGCTATCAATTATGCTCTTATATGTCACTGACCCAAGTACTATACCTCATAAAATCAATGTGTGTAGCAGCTTTTTTGGGGGAGAAAACAGTCTTGAAATGAACTGCCCTGTACCCTGACTGAACACAGCTGGACAGCTTGCTCGAGATGAACAGCACCGGCCGACTATGTAAAATCCTGTAAAATACCAAAAGTTTTTCATTTCAATTTTCTCCAGCACTCTTCAGTATTGACAACAGGTTCAAGCTGGAACACATTAACTCACCTGAAGCTGCAAAACCAGTGCCACAGAGACAGCAACCAAGTTAGGAAGATGCAGACCGGAACAGATGCTTGTTTTAGAAGCTCTGCAATAATACTAGCCTCTCTGCCTTCAGACTGCCAGTGGGTGAGTTTGAGAGGCCCGTCATCATATTTGTCCAGGAAAAAGAGAGGCTGACTTTGAGCCACTGTCTGGAAGACCAAGCGCAGCTCTGAAGGCTCAATGTCAGGCTTCTGGCTGACCTCCTGTACCGGGTGAAGCTGGGACAGCATAACCTTCCTCTGGTCGTAATGAACGAAGATGATCTTATCTTCCTCGCTGCTGACATCATCATTCTTCTCCTCCCGGTCCTGTAGAAGTTTCCCATCGTTCTGGACCACCTGGCAGGTAAAGCCTGTTTTGCCAATTTCACGGCTCAACTGCAGCCAATATTTCTGTGGAAAGATAGTACTCAGGTCTTTTAGAAAGCTGTCCATTCCTTCTTTACCTTCTTTGGGCATACTCCAGGAACCCAGGACGGTGAGATTCACTTGAGACTGGCTCTGCATCTGACTCAAGTACTTCTTCACCTGACCCGGTATGAACGGGTAGTGAACGACGGCCAGAACCACAGCAGAATTGTGACCTGGGATCCAGTGCCCAACCAGCAGGCCACTGTCAGCAGTATTGCAGCACTGGGGAAAGAAGATCTTCAGCACCATGGTTGTGTGCTATAAAGTCCAGCAACAGCGAAAGATACAGTCCTGTTTGGGCAAAAGGCACAATTAAAAGGCTGGAAGCAAGCATATAATAAGTACAATTGATAATATGCATATATAGCACTTATAAGGCCTAGTTTTGAGTTATCAAGTCAAAAATGAACGTGTAGTTCGCTTAACAGCATCCACAGATCGAGCGAGGACAGTTTTGTACTCGTGCCCTTCAAATGCATTGAACACTCGGGTCGTTTCTATGGAAACCACACGCTCCGGGCAAAAATTATATCGATTTAATTTGCAATGTTACCATGACCAAATGCAGGGACATATTGCTGTAATTAGTAGTAAAGTAGTCAAAAATTACCTTGTGGATTTTGAAGGGCGAGGACTTCTGAGAAGTTGCTTCTATCTTATTACCGACACCGACCAAGTTAACTCTACTATATGTGCGTTAAACAACACTGGCATGCTCTCAAAAAAATAAAACATAAAAATGGTCACGCAAAATCATAGGAAAATAGCACCAGAGAGATAACAGTCCAGTCCAGACTCTCGTTTAACTGAAAACCATTCCATATGAGTAAACCGATCATACCGTTCGTAACTTCGTATTGTTGATAGTCCGTCATTAAAATCCCGCCGAGTGAACTCAAGGGATATTTTCAGTTCCGACACAAATGGCTCAAGTAACGTTTGACTTTATTTTACAATTACAGGTTTCCAACGTACCTCTGTATGCTATCTCGTGTTCTCCGCAATATATTAATAAATTATTTAGAATTTAATTTAATAAAAATGTAATCAAATGTAAATGTAGCCTATGCATTTCCAGCTCAGCTGTTATCAGAGTGAGAAAACTGTTATTAAGATTTAGCTGTGAAGGACATTATACTCGTTAATAACAATCGTAGCATTTTAGTGTGAACCTTTTCTCCAAACCTATTGATTACCATTGTAATTTTTTGTTCACAGCACAATATTTCCTTTGCATAGTATCGTCTTTGTTAAATATATGCCTATAAACAGACTTATAGCCAGCCAGCCACATTTAAATCCAGACTGAAAACACATCTGTTTAGCTGTACATTTAGGCCTACTAAATGAGTCCTACTGATTAACGTTACACTGTATCTTTATTTTTTTATGCATATGTTAAGATTATTTTAAGCACTTTGAATTGCCATTATGAACATGAGTTAAATAAATAAACATGTCTTGCCTTTAAAACCCTAAGCGTCTACTTACATGAACTGTCGACCGGTGAATGTATTTGAATGGGAATCGTAACCTAAAGGAAACGTTATTATCTTAACATTCAAGACAATATAGGGGCCACTAAAGAACCAGCTTTACTTTCCTGATAACAGCTTCACACATGATAAGACTTGAATTTTAGGAGTGAGCCGAAGCAAAAATGAACAAAAGCTATGGATAAAAATAAAGTGTTTTTTGAAAGAATTTTTTTTGTTTGTTTGTTTAAGGACAGTTTGTCAAACAAAAACAAAACATTTAATTGTATATATATAGGCTACCATTTGCACCAATGTTTAATGCTCCTTGACCAATGAGAAAGCAACTTTTGCTGTGCTTGGCCCGAGTCCGGCATATCTACATCAGTCACTAGACATATTTGCAACATTATTTCACTTTGCTAAATTAACTGAAATTATGTGTAACTGATTGTGATACAATTGATGTGTAAATTATATGTGTAAATGAAGGTAAACAGAGTGTTGTTCCCAGAAGATGGCGCTAGAGTTAAATAAATGTTTCCCAGAATATCAAAGAATGATTGCATGAATGCGTTAAATATGGTGTTTTGAGTAGCTATTCAGGATGTTGAACTGGATTTTAAATGGGAATAATAGGAAGAGTGCAATTAAAGGAAATTCAACACAGACACAAAAGTTTTGAGACAAAACTAGGCTAATAATTAGGCCTACATCATTAATCATTATTAATTATACAGTCAGATACTTGTAATAGGCCTATGTCTCAACCGAAGAAGTTCTTAATAAATTAAGTTCAGTAGCCTACTGTCAAAAAAAACAAAAAAACATGAGCCAGTAAATCAGCTTATTAAAGGGACAGTCCGAAAGTCATAATGCACCCTCATGTTGTTCTAAACCGGTATGCATTTCTTTCTTCTATAGACATAAAATAAGATAGACTACTGAAAAATGTTGGTAACCAAACATTTTCGGTTGCCATTGACTTCTACAGGGCACAGGTGTAGGCTAGGCCTACTACTGTTACATAATCAGGAGCCACAACGTTTGGACAGGTGTCATATACGCAACCTGTCTGGCTCCTGATTATGTAACATTATAGCATACCTGTGCCCCATTTACACGCATCTTTGTTAGTGAACAGCACTTACAGTAAAGATAACTTTTTCTTGTAAGGATCTGTGTGGCATGCATGGCGCCAGTCACGTGATAAGAATTTTATAAAGGGATTTTCGCATTTTATCGCAAGGAATTTTTCATGAATTCTCCATGCCTCCAGGCCTTGGATCCACATTACATGGAACAAGTTTATTATTAATATTATTATTATTTTGACAGATTATTAGCTTTTAAACAAGCACTGAAGTGTTTTAAATAGCTGACCTTTTTGTTTAACGAGCTTATGTTGCTACTCCTATTTCTAAAAGTCGCATTGTAAATTAGGTCCAACGTTTTTCGTCAGAGGAAAATTAAACATCAAATGTAGTCTTAATGCAATTGTGCAAAAGGATTGTTGCAGAGGATATTATTGAAATGAGCTCATGATAACAAATGGTTTCATACAAAAACATAAGGGAAGAAGAAGCGTTTCTAAACATTGGCTACTATTCAAGGAAACCACACGAGTCAGCTACATTGTATGGCGGTTTTGATCACGTGACTTAAGAAAAGTTCCAAATGAAAGTGACCAGTTTATTTTCTTTGTCTGATGTCTGAATTACGAGAGCACTGCTTTTACTTTTCGAGACAGTAGTAGGCCCATGACAGATACAATTCTTGAGTAGCCTACGAGATAAAGATGTGAAAGTGAGGTTCAGATCATCTTTACAACTTCGTTACATATGTTTTAGAGATGAATGATGATATAGTACTACTGGCCTATCTATTTAAAGCTATTCTTTGTTTTCCATAAATAGCACAAGGCGACTGATTTGTTTAGGAGAAACAGCGCCATCTACAGGACATTTTGTGGGAAAGCTGCAGGCTTTCACTTTCATTTTCCCGTAAAGCACTGGAATATGCATCAAGAAGAAACAGACAAATATTTGAATAGCAAACACGGCTTTTCAACCATAAAGGAACTAGGTAAGTATCATTTTCATGTAGGCCTATGCAATTATGTAAACGGATTGTAGCCTATGCTGCAAGCATTTGGCAGATTTCTCCTGTAGCTATAGTGAATTTGATCTGTAATAGAAGTGATTTAGTCGGATATTATTTATCTGCAATACAATAAGCGTATGGCTTTGTGATTGAAACGGATATGCGCAAATTAAATATGCAATTGATTTCTGGTGGACTGCATCCCCATACAGTTTGGACTTGGGGCTATGCATTTGTGCATTGTGAATAAAAATATAGGCCTATCACCTACTACTGTAAATATCTGAAGAGAAATCTGGAGATGGCATAAACTTGGACAGATGATGATGATGCCATTTTACCAAAATGTAATTTAATACAAACACGTTGAAGCAGTTCCTCCATCTGATAAAGAGATTTGTTTCAGGGAAAAGCTCTGATAATTCACATGCTGTTTTTTTTCCCCTTTTCTTTTCTTTTCTTTTTCTTTTTGTTTCCTCTTCATTGGATCTAAGTGCAAGTTCGTTACTATCCGCTAGTGGTCCTCCTACTGTAAATGTGTGTCTTTCTGAGAAATACAAGTGAAACGAAAGTACAACCAGTAATTCTATTCCAAAGCAAACAAGTCATTGTAAAGAAAATAGCATGACTGGAATTTCAGTTTCACAATGATATCATTCAAACGAATCACAGTCGGGACAGTTCGTATGTTTAGTTCGTGTTTTGATGTAAGCTGATGTCATTTCTTCTTGTTAAATGGGCCCTCAAGTCACACGTAAGTCTCTTTTACTCGGCCATAACGACTGAAAGCACATGCAGACAATTGATGAATGGTAACACTTTACAATAAGGTTTCATAGGTATCATGAACTAATAATGAACTGCACTTCTAAAGCATTTATTAACCTTTGTTACTGTTCATTTCAACAATACATGATCAAAAGTTGTAGGCTATTTGTTCACATTAGTTAATGCACTGTCAAGTAACATGAACAAACAATGAACAGCTTTTTATTTAACGTTAACAGTAACAAATGTGTTGCTCATCGTTAGTTCATGTTAGTTAATACATAAACTAATAATAACAAATAAAACCTTATTGTAAAGTTACCGGATGAATCTGATGTGCATTTTTTTTATTTAATTTAATTATGTGCAAAACTATTAAACCTAATCTGGAGGCAGATGCAATGATGTTGTGCAGTGTTTACCATATCGGGGTGTCTATATAAGCATGTCATGCAACATCTCTATTTGTAAGAAATGAAACTTATGGAAAAAATGTTTGCCTGGTCCGCAGCTGTGGATTTACAGGCTGAAAGTGAGTTTCATTTATGGCTTATGCTTACAGAACCCACTGTGGATCTCAACTGACACAGTGTCACATTAATGCAGACATGCATAATCCACATAATACCTTAATTTTGGTGCTATGCACAGTATGACAATAAGCATGTTCAAACCCTAGATGCATGAACTGATAGGCCTATATGATAAAAAAAAATATTGCTTTAAAAAAAAAAAGCATATTATTTTTAAGGCTGTTGTTTTTTTATGTTAGTTGCACACCTGTTCATTGCAATAGTAAAATGTCTGCCATTTTTTAATTTGTTATCATAAAGAAAAAAAACACTAATATATGCAATTATATTTTTTTTATTGAGAAAGGATTGATAATATAGTTAAGTGACCCAGTCAGGGTGAATCAGGCTGTATAATAGACCTCAGCCTAGAAACACACATGACAAGGATATTCATGTGACCCCTCACTTGAAGGTTGGTCATAAGTATTTCATTCAGATAAGATGTCATTTTCTTGTCCTTTGAAAGTTTGGTAGCCTATAAATGGGACTTTTTTTGGAAATGCATAAAGGTTTAAAGGAGAAGTGAAAGAATACTATCGTATCACTTAGGTAGGAGGGGCTAAATCCTGAATTGATTTCACAGAAAAAACCTGAAAGTGAAGAATGGATTCCGGGAAATGGGCGGAGCTGCTCGCGCTATATACAGTTTCAAAGCGCATGTCACTTCATTCTGACATTACAAAGAGTTTCTGTCGTGCGCTGTGAGGACATCTCTATCGAGATATAACGGTGGAATAAATCAATCAATGGGAGTTAAAACAAAACTAACTTTGGAAGCGGCGACGAGAGTTTGTCAAAGGCAAAGTTGTATTGACTACTCCTGGAGTTCATATTTGATAAAACGGTAAGATTTACGCTGAACTAACTTTACTGTTTAGAACGTTTTAACGGCCTGTTTTTAATTTAAATCCCGCGATTATAAAGGAAAATAACTGCTTGTTGTACGTCATAATGTAACGCTTATAATAAGACCAATGAAGTAAACTTTATATAAATAAGTGCCTTGTATAATGTAGCAATGGTAACATAAAACACTTAAAATAAACGTATATTAAATATAGAAATAATCAAATAAACTTACCTAACATAACTGTTAAATGCCTTGATAATGAAGTGAAAAGGATGTGTAATTTAACAGATAAATCCAGCTGTACATGATTGAATCCCAAGTATGTCACAATCTATGTTGCCATGAAACACTCAGTCCATTGTAGCCTGTGTGATGATCAGTACAACATGTGATTGGGTTTGGATGGGGCCGCTGATTAACTGTGTTCTTCACTTGCTCTTCAACAGACAGATGAGTCTCATCTAGATGACCTTCCTGTGGTACGGTATGGAAGACCACACCGGCTGGTCTTTCCTGTAGGATGGTGGCACACAGTACAGTGGAAGGGAATCAAGGCACAGAAGAACCCCAAGCGAGCACAGAAGCCTCCCCAGAGGTCTCCCAATCCCAAAAGTCCAGACCCGGCCAGCTGGCAGCTGTTATCCAGACACATTTCAGGCCCTTCAACTTTGCGAGAGACTTCAAGACCATCGCAAAGACCACCTCAAAGCTAGAGGAGAGTGGCTTCTACTGGGGTCCCATGACTGTGGAGGAGGCACATCTGAAGCTGAAGAAGGAGCCAGTGGGAACTTTCCTGATCCGGGACAGTCGTCAGAGCGACGTGTTCTTTACACTGAGTTACAAAGGACAAAACGGTCCTGTGAGCGTCCGGATTAACTTCAAGAATTCCAAATTCAGTCTGACCGGCAGCAAGGAATCTTTTGACTGTCTTTTCAAGCTGCTGGAACACTACATCAGTTCCCCAAAGAAGGGTCTCATCAGGCCCTACAGGAAAGAACCAGTGCAGTCCCTGCAGCAGCTGTGCCGCAGACGGATTATTGAAACATGCGACGGAAAAGACATCGACCGCATTCCTGTGCACCCAATCCTCAAAGACTTCCTCCATGCCTTCCCCCATCCGCTATGAAGACGAGACTCGTTGCATTAAAGCGCTGCTGGAATATTCTGGAGATACTTGATGGACTCCTCCTCGTGGTCCTGCTCTGTTTTAGGATGCAGGAATCACACTGTAGCACATTTTGGAATATCAGTCTTGAACACTGCACAATGAAAGTTTACATTGTCTGTGAATGTTTACACTATACAGGAATATTGTTTTCCTTTTATTGCGTTTCTGCTATGCAGAAAGAAATATTTCAAAATAATTTTTATAAAAAGAATAAATATATTTGTAAACAATTTAAAACATCTCAATGTTTACTTTATTTGTTGGGGGATTCATACACTCTGAGGCCTGAATGGAAATGCTTGAATACAGGTATATATATACACATTACAAAAAAATGATCAACATTCACAAAAAAGCATATAGACATCAAACTAAACTGTTTGAAACTATTACATTTCAATGGAAGGCTTAGTGAAAACGGTTTAATGAGAAGACATAAATTAAAATAAGTAAAAAAAAAAAACATTAATACAAATATTATTTATACATTTACTTTTTTAGTATTAAACTACGTAGGCGAGAACTTTTAAGTTTCCCTTTTAACTTCGAGCCTCACCCTTGCCTAACAAGATTCAAATCTTGGCTTAATCCATGAAACCCGCCTTTTTCTTTGGCATGCCATGTTTAAGCTATGGTATATTTTACTAGATTACAGGCTTTGTGTACCTGGATTCCTGAAATGACATGAAGACGAGGACTTATAGGAAGTTTAGGCCAGACATTCTGTGCTGAACCAGGCTGATTAATCTAGGTAGTAGCGTGGTTGAGAGGCGGAGCTGTGGTGACCGTAAACTGCTTATGGCTCAGACAGACATTTACAAGAAATGAAGTCGGTTGTGAGGACTGATGGAGTGTGATGGGGAGGAGCCTGTGATCTCCAGAGACGCTAATACACGGTACTATCAATACAACTTTGCGACATCCGACAGGCTTACACAGAAAAATGACTAAGAACAAAACAATACTCGGCATCAGGGGTTCACGTAAACTTTAGAGATCACTGCTTGGAATTCCACTCGAGGCTGAAGGAAGTGATCTGTACTGCACAGTCATCAGATAAGACATGGCAAGAGGTTGTAACACTCGTATTGTGTTTTATTTTGTGTCAGACCTCTTTCTAAGTGATCTTGCTTAGTAGAACAATGGAAGTGAGCTGCTTTCGGACTAAACGTAGTTGTGAGTCAAATCAATCATTAGCAAAGACAGCGGATAAAAAGGTCATAAGTACAATGGAAGCAGATTTATTACAAGGAAGCTTATCTTTGAGGAGAAAACTTTTCTGATTCTAATGAAATCATGATATCATATTGTGGAAGTGAGGGGGAAATCATTCGATGTGCCCGATTGGCTACTTTATCGAGGGATTTCCCTTCTTCAATCTCGACACACAGATTACCAATTAACTTTGTGCATTTATTTCACAGGCGAATGACACAAATAGGAATCTACCTACTTATAAAGAAAACCAGACTCAGAAGCTTTGTTTAATAAGGTTTAGGTTTGCCGGGGTTGACTTTGGTGATGCCGAATATCAGTCTGTCTTTCTGCGATCATCTGTAGTGATTAATACACATGAAAGAGCATAGTCACTTCCAGGAAAAGAGACAGTTGTGTTTCCTTGAAGAGCCCCTAATCTCCACTGCATCTGGCCTCAACTTACACAAATACACACACACACACACACTCGGCTCCAGAGTGGTGTATTTCCTTTTGGAACCGCAATGCTCCCCTCCAAAATGCAGAGACTGAAAGACACACAAACACACACACAGTTTCGCTATCTTTGTGGGGACTCTCCATAGGCGTAATGGTTTTTATACTGTATATTATCTCCCCTTACACTAACCATACCCCTAAACCTACCCATCACACAAAACTTTATGCATTTTAACATCTTTAAAAACAAAAACAAAAAAAACATAATTTAGGATGTTTATTGATAACTGTCACCGTCCCACAGGTGAGACGTTTGCCATTATATTTTTAAAACAATAATATCTTAGTAAAAACCTTAAGTAATATTGACAAACTATATATCATTTGAAAGCTTACAATCTCTAGTTTCCATATTTGGCTTGATTTTCAAATAAATTACAGAGGAGCCGTAATTTATCAATTTGCAACAAGAATATTTTCATACTCTTAAGGCGTGTTCAGACCTTTATTTTGAAATAGCAATGAACATGAAAAATCATGAAAAAATAGAAACCTCAGTTTGTTTTAATGCCAAAAGTTTAAAAGATAGCATCCATTCAATTATTTTAGAAAAAAAGGTCTGAAAATGTTTTAAATATAAAGAAATATATACTAAATTCACCATTTGTGATGTGGCAGCGAGCTATAATGCACATACGTGTTCTTTGTATGTGTTTCTTAGAGGTTGAATTCATATCAAAATCTGCCAAACTTCCCATACTACTTCTGAATAGGATGTCTACTTCATAAATTGTATGAAAATTGTGGAAATAATGGTGCTTATCACTCAAAACACATATGGAAATGGAGGCGCCCTTATATGGGCAGTAATGGAGTCTGGTTGTAATCTAGTGGAAGCGTTCGGTACTGCGCCCAAACAAAATCTTACTGAACGCTCATTTTTTGAGATATCAACCTAAAATTTTAAACACAACTTGTTCAGATTTTTGGCTTTGATTTGTCTGCAGTTTTAGAGTAGCCCAGGGTTTGAAAATATATATTTTATATAAAATATGAATAATTAATGTTTTTACATTGTACACTTACATAAACTCAAACTTCTATAACTTTTTTTCTGTTTCACTTTCTTAATTCATTTCACTTCAACAAAAATCTGCCAAATGTCTTCTTTAAAACAAGACCAATCTTACGTCTATATTCCAAAGCATTCTTGAATTACAACCATTTAAGTTCGAAATGTGCATTTTCATGTCTATTAAAAAGAGGGGGGTGACACTTGAGAGGTTAATCCATTTCGCCTGTGGGGACCGCTGGCTGGACGCCACAATGCAGGTGATCTCAGGTTTTACTATTCTTGTGTGTACATTTTCCCCACAATGTAATATATACACCTGTACACATTCACACACGCAAGCTTGTGTGTGGCTAATCTGCACATAGAAAAGGCCGTGGTTTGAGCTTTTGAGCGCTCATGAACGGAGAACAACCTCAACTGATAAAGGCCAAAAAGTTTTCCTGAGCTGACACATAATTTGGTACTTTTAATGAAAAAAAAAAAAAGATATCAAATTTGTGGCAAATAATACAGTCTGTTCAAAATAAATAAAATAAAATAGGGGTAATATTTGTGGCAATATTATTATTTTTTTAAATAAAATAAATGATCTGGTGAAATTTATTTTTAAATGAAAAGAAAAGGCAAGTAGCTTATCTGCACTACATCAAAACCTACTCATTGAATAGATAGATGTTGCTATGGAAACTTGTTACACAAGATCAAACTGAAATTATTAAAATCTATTTATGGTTATGATGCTGAAGACCCCTGGGAGTGGTTTTTATAAATTGACAATGTTTAAGACCACAAGCTAAATTCCAGGAAGGCAAGTGATACGGCTACCCACATAATGGTTACTATGACAACACTCATCTCTTGCCATCCCACATCAAGGTAGAAGGTCCCCATGACCTCCACTGAGAATATGTGGGCAGGACTTCCAATTTACTGATTCACAAAGATACATTTGTTTCACACTGACCACCTTTGAGTAATCCCCTCACCTCCTTTTCCATACACAAACAGGTGGGTTTTAAATGATCAGATGAGTATCTTAAAAAAAAAAAAAAAAAAAAAAAGCATTCTCAGATGGCCTTTAAAGGGATGGTTCACCCAAAAATGAAAATTCTGTCATCATTTACTCACCCTCAAGTTGTACCAAACCTGTATGAGTTTCTTTCTTCTGCTGAACACAAGAGTGAAGATTTTTGGTAACCAGACAGTTGATGGGCCCCATTGACTTTTCCATACCATGGAAGTCAACGGTGACCATCAACTGTTTGGTTACCCGTCCCGTGTTCTTCAAAATATCTTATTTTGTGTTCAGCAGAAGAAAGAAACTCATACAGGTTTGGAACAACATTAGGGGGTGAGTAAATGATGCGGAATCACATTAAGAGGGGTGTGCGACTAGTTTTCAAACTGATTTTTGAAAGCATTTTTCCTTTCACATTCTAATCTAGTAGGTGAGAAATAAAATGTGCAAGTATACAACTCTAAACATCAATAATTATAATGGCTTTGCAATGTAGCACCCGCAACAATCTTGCCATCTCATCTATTTACAATGAAATACAGGTTGCTGTATTGTGGCAAGTCATATGGCTCCTCTCAGGCACATGCCGTGTAATGCAAACCACAAGTTAGTGAGCGCGTGTTCTTTAGAAATATCACCCCTGTGAGGCCGCCTTCAGCAAAAGGCATGAGAGACTATCAGCACAAGCTCCTGGAACGAGACTTCTAGGGAACCGGAAAATAAGACTCTCATGAGACTTTAGCCTGCACACATCCATTTATAGTTGCTCTTAATAAGTTTCATATCAACCTGTTTCTCAGACCAGAGGAACCGCACTGAAGACAAAGGCGGCGTTTATTCATTCAACGGATGCTTTTATGGAAAACCAACATATTCGTGATGACCATCGCAGTCTATTTTTTCACAGAACCGCTTATCGATCGTTTCATAGCATATTACTGCATGACATTCATTTTTAGTTGAAGATGATCTGTTGATAAGCAGAAGTGGGACCTTGAATTATGCAGTTTGTTCACTAATTGTAAACATCTCTGCTTAAAAAAAAACTTTAAATGTAAAAAGTGAGTGTGGGGGTCAACTTAATGCAAAGTCTCTGGGGAAAAGGATACACATAAATGCAGTTTTCTCAGTATTGCACAGATCCATCACTGGTTTCCGGACAATGAAAAACCCCCTTCATATTCTGGGAGGGTTTAGTACGGTTGGATGGAAAATGGACTAAGACAAATAACATCCTAATAAGCAGCCCACTTTACACAGTAAGAAAGAAAATAACCTCACAGTTTATTTCCATATTAGCAATTTCCCCTCCCACAGGAATGTGGATTTCACGTAATATCATCACAGTAATAAAATATGCATGCTTGGCTCCAAAAATGGTATTTATATACGTGTATAGTCTTTATTTTAAATAAACCATATCACAAGAAGAACTGGATTCCAGCCAGTTCCCCCCTATCATCAAGAGACCCAAGCACAGAGAAGCCCACCTATTCTAGGAAAGGATGACTATCGGGAACTTCACTTAGGCTTGTTGATATTTCACCAGAACAGGAAATTTGCACAAGTATTTTGACAGATTAACTACCAAAGATAAACAGTGTGGGGGGACAGATATAATGGCAGATTAATGTTTAATAAAATTCTGCTTCTTCAAAAAACATAATTGAAATATAAATAAAAAGTAAGACAACCGAAATGTACATCAGAATAATTTATTGCATGACTTGGTAATTAGTTATAACATTAGATCAAAACAAATCTTTACACTGTGTACAAACTATGATGCCCTCCGAGCTCCCTTTTCGACAATGAATTTAACCTCAAAATACTGATATATGCAGAACTGTATTGCTTTAAAAGGTCATATTTTACAATCTCCGTTGATAAAGCTTGTGAGTGGGTTTCTTTAGAGAGAAAAACGCCCAGTCACGGTTACCACACATTTGCATCTGTGCCACACCGCAAGAGCGTGAGGACCCCTTCTATGTGCTGCTGTCTATAAACCAAATATTTTCCATTTCAGTCCATTAGTGACGGTAGTCCAACTTCTTGAATCTGTAAGTGAAATAAATGAGTCTTGAATTACGGTTATTGCACACCAAAGTAAAACGAAACCACAAATGCATCACACCCAGCTTTGATTAAGTGTGTCCAGCACAAGCTCTTGATGACCTCTAGAATATTAAGTGTTAAAGAACATTAAAACACACCAAAAATTTTTGAAAACTCGCCTCAGCCTTAAAAAAAGGAAGAGAACACCTCAAAATACTTAACGACGTAACTGTATGAACGAAAACAGGCATATTTATCCTGTGTCGGCAGAGTGCAGAATCTTCCAGAAAGAAAGCAAATGCATGAAGGTACGGCAGTGACATAAACGCTCAGGAATGAAACTCGATTACATCAGGTTTGTTCACCTGATGGAAAAAAAACTCACTTTAGAATGTGACTGACAAAAGCGAGTCAGCATTTGTTATACAAAAAGGCTTGGTGGAGCAAGAGTGGATGGTTGGATGAACCTCCTACGCTGCCAAAACTGAGCAAGAGTTCACGAATTAAATGATCTTCAATGCACTGATGAATTAAAACGGGTCATTTTAAGCACATACTTTATCTGTTGCTTATGATCTCAAAAATAATGACACAAAAGGGCTTAAAAAAAAACAAAAAAAAAAACACCGTTGAAGTGCAAATTAATGTTCAGCCCAAATGAAATATACCTTCAGAAAAGAGCACCGCTGGATAGACCCAGAAGTCTTTGTACATTCCTCAGTGTTAAGACTGGTAAAATCAAGCGGGCAATCCCCACCAACCCACTCGGATATATATTTATACGAACACGCCCTTCTCTCCGCCTGCTCAGCATCATAAAACCATACGCACACACACTTGAACAGTCGCACACAATCACAAAACAGTCACACATGCAGAGAAACAGCTGGAACACCTCAGCACCAGAGCAGAAAGAATAACGCACGACAGAAAAAAGGACTGTGCTTTAAGCAGCACTCATGATGAACAATAATGTCATTGTTCTGAGAGTGCCGTTTTCTTCTGAAATGCATCATGGTCTTGATGTGAAGAGAAGTATTGTCAACCGCTGTGTTGACAGTCGGCAACTACACAGATACAATTGAGGGCCCGAATCACTAAAGCTGAAAGCATGTGCAAACCAGAATCGGTCATGCTCACATTGAGTAATCAATGGAACATGCATTTCTTGCTTTAGTAACCCGGCCCTAATTTCTTCAGTACATTTTAGTTTTAGTAGCACTAGACATCATATCAGTCTATCGCAGTCTCCTCCTCCAGGTCTGGGTTGTCCTCTTGGTCGGTCGTGACGCCCGCAGAGTCTGTCTCGGGCTGAGTCATAGGTTCCTCCCTCTGAACCTTCGTCAAATCCTCAGTTTCTTCACTTAGCAAATGTCCAGATTCAGGAGATGCCTCATCTTCCTCTGGTATGACTGGAATATCCTTCCTGTCGTCTTGAGACTGTGCGTCCACTGCTACCATGCGGCCATCTGTTTGGCCAGCAGAAATAATCTCATCCGCATCCTGGACGGAGGACTGGGTGCTGAAGGAGCGCAGGCGAGGCGGGTCGGCGGGGGGCAGCAGGGTCAAGGAGTCCACGCTCAGCGTTTCGGCATCATTGTTAGACAGGAGGGAGATGGTGGGTTGCGGTGCAGGGGTGAGGCTAGGCGCCAGGGAAAGTCCTGAAACAGGGAGAACAGGGTTGGTTAATCCCGCACAGGCCTCTACTTACTTATGGAGGAGGGGTGTGTTGCACACATGCAGAAACATCTATTCATACTGAAAAGGCAAGGTATGTAAAAGGCAGTAATGCAGACAGTGTGGAGGAGGAGAATGTTAGCTTTGTTAGGTTGTTTGTAATGTGTCTAAGTTTGTGTGTGCTGTGATAGATAAATGTGTGAGAGATTATAAATTCTGCTGGGATGATTGACAGACAGGATGGATTGATAGATGGCTAGATACATTGATAGGCAGGTAGAAAGGTAGATGGACAAACAGGTAGAAACGTAGATCTGACCTTCTATCTGACCTAGGTAGGTCAAATAATAGATAGATGGCTAGATAGACCAATAGATAAATGGATAGTTGGTTGGATTGATAGATGGCTAGACAGTAGAAAAGCAGACAGACAGACAGACAGACATAGATAGATGTCTGCCAAAAATAATTATATGAATGTAAAAAGAGGAACCTGAATGGCAGAGAGCCATGGAAGTGAAAAGAAGGCTGAAAAACAGGATCTAGGGTGGCATTTATTCATAGTCTTTGGTTGTCATCAACTTGCTAATACCATGCACTTCTAAAGAGAAGTTTCACAGTTTTTACAATGATGTTTGTATTCACACACACACACACACACACACACACACACACACACACACACACACACACACACACACACACACACACACACACACACACACACACACACACACACACACACACACACACACACACACACACACACACACACACACACCTTTAGTTTTTAGTAGCACAATGCCAGTCACTGGAAACTAAGGGGGCCACTCTGCATGGTCAATCTACATTAAAGCGTCACACGGACATGCCTGTTACGTCTGCCTGGAGCTCTAAACCCATTCTCCACCGTGCCTGTCATCCTCTGACAGAGAAAACACGCACCTCCGGCCTTCCCAGCCAGACCTGACTAGAGAACAGAGGGACAGATCAGAACGCATCCTACAGACATTAATTACAGCATCTAATCTGAAGGGTGCATGGAGCAAAACCTACAGCCAAAGGATATTATCAATTAGCATAACATGCAAAGCACGCTATTTTACCTCTACATAGGGAAACAAAGCAAGATTTTGGTGACAGCTTGATTTTAACTCTATAGCTCATTGGTTAGCACTCTAGCTCAGAACATGTTTAGGCTTGGTGCTCATGCAGGTTATCTGGGTTCGAGTCTAGCATGAAAAAATATCTTGATCCTTTTCCTCCTCTCTCTCCCAATGATTTCGTGACTCTTCCCTGTATCTAGCTGTCTAATACAAGAGGAAAAGGGGCACAAATAAAATTTAGTAGAGTCAACTTAAATCACCCTTCAAAATCCATTTTACTTCTGTAATGAGCCAATTCATTCATGCAGAACATTTTTATTACATTTTGATACACTACAAATGTATTTTATTTGGAATAACATGCACTCATGAAATGTGCACAATAAGACCAGGCACATGTTTTAAGAAGAGTAAAAGGTCAATTTGAATTTATTGTTGACTTTAACTCTATGCAGGTTGCATACGTGCAACCACACTTACACTACACAGTCTCTGTCATAACAGACATGTACCGAGGAAGAAATCGATGTCAGTCTCACCACAAATCCACACCTTCAAAACAATACGTCATCTGCTACCGCTGCTTCTGATTCTAAGAACTTCTCTTCAAAGATGTATCGCCCCACGAGGCATTAACAAACAGTGAATGTGGTCAGCTCACACTGCTGCACTCTGTTGTTTGTGACAGTGGCCCTTATTGAAACAACTTATTCATGTGACTTCAGAAGACTATTTGTCCAATTTTTTTGAGGGATTATTAAATGATATGGACAGTTTCACTTCAGACAAACCCCAAAAGGTCACTGTATTTCAAAATAGATCATTACAGTGATTCAGAGAATAAAAGGAACAGAGATACATAGTGAAAGAAAAAAAAAAAAAAAGCCCATGACCGTATTAGTTAAACGCCCCCGCCACAAGAAAGAAATCTGTAGGAGACTTCACAGAGGCCACAATACTCCACTCCTCTGTTCAGAGAATCAGCCAAAAGATTGGTTCCTGGTCTCTTGTGGTGTGAAGACTTTTTGAGCTTTCAGGTTTTTCCAAAACCATACCCGACCACCAGTGTTCAGCTCAGAAAGGCAGTGTGGGAGGCAGAGAGTGAGATAAAGCAGCCAATGGCTGCACAGAACTTTAGAGGTGAACAAAGTCCCTCAGGGACCCTTGTTCTATACCCAGCAAACACATTAAAGGAATGGGTCACTTCAAAAGGAACATTCTGCCATCACTTACTCACCCTCAAGTTGTTTCAAAACTGTATGAATTTCTTTCTTCTGCTGAACACAAAGGAAGATATTTTGAAGAATGTCAGTAACCCTACAGTTGATGTACTCTATTGACTTCCATAGTAGGAAATAGGAAAAAAATGACCATTTAAGTCAATGGGGTACATCAACTGTCTGGTTACTGACATTCTTCAAAATATCTTCCTTTGTGTTCAACAGAAGATAGAAATTCATACAGGTTTGTAACAACTTTAGGGTGAGTAAATGATGACAGAAGTTTCATTTTTGAAGTGAACTATTCCTTTAATTCCTGAGAGGCCCTTTAGGGGGCCTTTAAAAGTTGTAAAATAGTCTTCCACTTAAAGATCTACTTGACCATTGCTTACCATAGAATTTCTTTCTAAATGTGACAAAATTGGCTGGCTGACAAGTGCTAAAAAGGATGAAGTGGAAAGAACATGTAATTACATGTATATACACATTCAATCATGCATACATGCCCTTGAATTAGCAAAGAATTAGAGTGTATGAGTTGTGAGTCATTGAGTGTATAGAAGAGTATAGAAACATGAGTCTTAAGGTCCATTATTGCCATTGTTATGAATGGGGCTTTAATCATACAGCTATAATACTGCTGCGGCAGTTTAAAATCTTCATTTACAGGGTGTGACAATAAAACTGACACTGTAAAAGCTACTGGGAATGAGTTTAAAATCCCGCCCTACATTTTTTCTCATTCCAGAAGCCGTTTCACTGAGGGAATAGGGAAGAAAAGAATATTTCAACTTCCGTGTCATGCCGCCTTAAATAAAACGTTTTGATTGCAAAATCATAATAAATTGCAATTCAAGAATTTAAATTTCTGTAGCTCAAACCGTAAAGCATAAGCACTAGCAATGCCAAAGTCATGGGTTCAATTCCCAGGGAATGAAGAAACTGATAAAATGTCTACCTTGAAAGGATAAATGTAAGTCGCAATGCAATTATTGCAATTATTAACTTAAGAACTCCAATCTTATTCCAGATCTGTGGAAAAGCATACCTAGTGTTAAACTTGCAGAACAAAATCAAAATCACTGTCTTTATGTGGCGACTGACTGACTGACTAACTGACAGAAAGACATATGATGATGCGAGACACAATGACCAGCACTGTTTGCAGAAAATATACAAAGGAAAATAAATGATAGTTTTTACGGCCAACATTTTTTTTCCATTTAAAGCTGCAGTCCGTAACTTTTTTGGGTTAAAAATTATCCAAAATAAATTTGAGAGCAAGTACATAACCAGCCAGTGTTCAACACTATCTGCTTGCCTTAGCTTGATTCAAAACGGTAAGCTTGTAATAATGTTTTTAATTCCAGTGGTACTGGTGGATTTACGTGGGAAATTCGAGCATGTCTTTGCGTCATTACGTCACATCTGTGACATCACCGCACGGTGACTGACAGCCGCACACTCTCCTCAAACATTGGATTCATCCGCGCTGTGCCGTGCCGAGGTACAACTCACGTAAAGTTGATAATTCCGCGATTGACTGAAATTGCAGATTTCGAACAGAGATTGCGACAAAGAGGAAAAACTGCGGACTGCAGCTTTAAAAAAGTAGCTTCTTTTTTTTTACCGTAGATATCATTAGTCTATTAAGTCTGATCTACTATGTGAAAAAACAAAAATGATTATGCAATCTGCTTCTTTGCAAACCTGATACACATGAGGAGGTGCTTAGATTCAGAGGAGGGTGTGTCGTAGCATTTGTGTGAAGTGTTTTGGTTTCTCAGTAAAAGCAGTTGATAGTAAAATGGAGTGGTTGAGCAAAAGTAGAGAAGGGAGTGGCATGTGTGTAATTGTGTGTTTTACCTGTTTGACTCTGTGTTGCGGTGTGTGTGGGGTCACAGGGGCCGGTGGGGCCACTAGAAGGTGGTGAGGTGAAGGAAGTTGATGTGGGGTTGTGCTGGGCAACGTGAGCAACTGCAAAACCTGGAAAACAAAACACATCGTCACATATCTGACAGACAAATCAGTGAATGTCCTGCGATACTTTAACGATATTAAACGTTTTACTGATAAAATAAGCAGGCACAGTGGCTTAGTTGATAGAACAGGTGCGGGTTTGAGTCTGGCCATTCCCCCTATCTTGTCAAAATATTTCTGTTTTCAAAATAAATTAAAAAAAGAGATGAAAATAAAGAAGCTTTATATATACAAACAAATACACACCTTTACTTGCTGATAACTGAAACACTAGTCAGATTCCTAAATTTTGGTACAAATGAGAACAACCTTAAAGTGATCCAGTGGCAGGCAAAGAACAGGTCAGGCTTTTAAAACACTTGGCATCACACCAAGAGTTCTGGGAACCACAATCTCTTTTACCTGAACCAACAACACGTCATCAACAGGGACTGAGAGACAGCTATTAGTCATCTGTTTCCCTAAACAGAGAACTAACTTTTGTGAAATTAAGAGCATCACAATCCTACTCAAATCTAAAAGGGTCGATACGTTTTTGTAAATATTGAGAGATTTCCTCTTTGTAGTGAGGGGGCTTTTGAAGGGGGGGAATTCAGCATCAATTCATCTTGGGAATGACAGATGCAAGTGCTGCACAGTGGTCGGAGGGATTTTGAGGCATTCCTCTTGCAGAACAGTGGCCAGGTCACTATGTGATGCTGGTGGAGGAATTGTTTTGTGACTTTCTCCTCCAAAATACCCCAAAGTGGCTCAAAAATATTTAGATCTGGTGACTGGAAACAGGAGACTCAAGGTGCACATTAAGGGTACATTTATACGACAACGATATGCTTAAAGGTGCAATGTGTGATATTTCTGAGGATCTATTGACAGAAATGCAATATAAGATCCATAACTATGTGTTCAGTGGTGTATAAAGACCTTACTCAATGAACCGTTATTTTTTTATTACCTTAGAATGAGATTTATATCTACATAACCGCGGGCACCCCCTTCTATGAAGGTCGACATATTGTGACGTCATGTTTCTACCGTAGCCGAACGCGAACAAACAGCGCTACAGAGCCCGTTTCGTCACTACCTTGAAAGAGAAGCCGCAGAAAGTTAGAAGCCATAGACACCCTGAGTAATGACTTTTCCCTTGTCAGTGGTGTAAAATATGTAGTTGAATTGTTTTATGTAACTTAGTTCTTCTCCCTCGCTGTGTTATGGCTTTGACAATAAGCTGATTAGTACTATTGACCGCAAAACAGTAACGTTACAGGAGTCACCAACCCGACGATCGCGGTCGACAAGTCGATCTTGGAGGCATTTTAAGTCGATCGTGGAAGAGTTTACAAAACCAGAGAAAAAAAAACAATATTTGTATTCATTATTATTTATTAATTTGTGTGTAGTAAATGGTGTCTAGGGGATGTGGAGGCGCGCGCGCTGTTACAATCACGTCTTTTTTGCCCGCGCGCTACTTTGCGCTCATTCGGACACGTCGAGTATAAACAATGCTTTACGCTTTAACCAGCTCAGCCACAGCCCTACAGCATAACAGCTCATATTAGCCAGCTAAACTTTTACTACCCTGTTAGATAAAATATATACACTCACCTAAAGGATTATTAGGAACACCATACTAATACTGTGTTTGACCCCCTTTCGCCTTCAGAACTGCCTTAATTCTACGTGGCATTGATTCAACAAGGTGCTGAAAGCATTCTTTAGAAATGTTGGCCCATATTGATAGGATAGCATCTTGCAGTTGATGGAGATTTGTGGGATGCACATCCAGGGCACGAAGCTCCCGTTCCACCACATCCCAAAGATGCTCTATTGGGTTGAGATCTGGTGACTGTGGGCCCATTTTAGTACAGTGAACTCATTGTCATGTTCAAGAAAACAATTTGAAATGATTCGAGCTTTGTGACATGGTGCATTATCCTGCTGGAAGTAGCCATCAGAGGATGGGTACATGGTGGCCATAAAGGGATGGACATGGTCAGAAACAATGCTCAGGTAGGCCGTGGCATTTAAACAATGCCCAATTGGCACTAAGGGGCCTAAAGTGTGCCAAGAAAACATCCCCCAAACCATTACACCACCACCACCAGCCTGCACAGTGGTAACAAGGCATGATGGATCCATGTTCTCATTCTGTTTACGCCAAATTCTGACTCTACCATCTGAATGTCTCAACAGAAATCTAGCTCATCAGACCAGGCAACATTTTTCCAGTCTTCAACTGTCCAATTTTGGTGGGCTCTTGGAAATTGTAGCCTCTTTTTCCTATTTGTAGTGGAGATGAGTGGTACCCAGTGGGGTCTTCTGCTGTTGTAGCCCATCCGCCTCAAGGTTGTGCGCGTTGTGGCTTCACAAATGCTTTGCTGCATACCTCGGTTGTAACGAGTGGTTATTTCAGTCAAAGTTGCTCTTCTATCAGCTTGAATCAGTCGGCCCATTCTCCTCTGACCTCTAGCATCAACAAGGCATTTTCGCCCACAGGACTGCCGCATACTGGATGTTTTTCCCTTTTCACAACATTCTTTGTAAACCCTAGAAATGGTTGTGCGTGAAAATCCCAGTAACTGAGCAGATTGTGGAATACTCAGACCAGACGACGATATGTTTGTCCTGTTTTAGCCACCGTAGCTTCTTCGAAAGGGAGGGGGTGAGCAGTGGGCTGACCACTTAGTGCAACTCGCAACCGAACCGCTAGATGCCGCTAAAATCTACACACTGCACCTTTAAAACGGAGAAGTTTTTTCTTTGAGTTTTCTGCGTACAGATGACACCATTGTCAAATGATCCCTATTCACACGGATCCGCGAAAACGACTAAAAAAACTGTGTATTCTGCTGCCAGGCCATTAGATGGAGATGAAACAATATAGATTGAACACATAATACACATGTGCATGTGTTGTTTACACTGAGACCGTTTTCAAAAACTTGCACTTTGAAACCTGTTTTCAAAAGTTCAAGGCACCCAAAACACTGTTGTCGTGTAAATGAACGGCCAAAACGCAGTTTTAAGTTTTTAGTTAAAAAATGGTATTGTGTAAACAGCCCCTTAATTCTGCAGTCATTTGGGCAGCTGTGTTTTTATGCTTTTTATATATATTCCAGGTTAATATCTGGACATCCCCTTCAGACAGCTTCCTATTGAGTCGACAGTTACTCCTGTTGGATGTGATTCGGGTCCTTTGTGGTGGTATGCCAACATTACCCTGGATACCATAGCTCTCCATACACCACAAAGACTTGCTGTCCTGGTCACAGATGAGCCAGCGAGACAAGCACCAACAATTTGTCCTCTTTTGAACTCTGATATGTCTCCCATTATGTTGTGTGGATTGCAATATTTTATGTACAGCTGTGCTATTGCTTTGCTAATTCAACCTTCATACTCTGATCTTACTGATGGAATGTAAAATCACTGAAGATCGGCCACCAGGCCGTGCATATAGGTGTGAAATCTCCAACACTAATTGCCAGTGTTTCAGTTTGATTGTCCAACCAATTTATACAGGATTTGAAATTAACTTTGTCACTCATCAGCCAATTTGGCTACTAACTTTTTAAGTTACCAGCCATTCAGAGCTTTTACAAGCTAAAACATAAATATCAGAAATAATCCAGATAAACAAAGCAGTGTTTCCGCTACATTCATTCTGCCGTGGCGGGCCGCCACACCTAAAATCATCCCGCCATGGCTGCAGCTTCTCGGTCCGATATTGTATGTGTTATTGTTAAGCCCCACTAAAGGCATACAAAACAGTTGCCTTTTAAGTCGTTAAGTTAAAGGAAACTCATCTCTCCTCAGTCATTCTCCATTCAGCATTCAAACAGCACGTCACGTTCGGTTACGGCAGTACACGACGACACCCTCTTCAAGATCAATGTTCCCATTATTATATTTTATTTGTAGATAAAGGTCTATAGTTTGCATAAAATTACTTTATCTTGCTGGAGTTTATAGCGCTTTCTAAATCATATTCCTTTCTCCCGGGTGTCTACAGCACTAGAGTAGAGAGCACTATGAATTGTTCTTCATGCGCACTGTAAGTTAACTGAAATTTAAAACTGTTAAAAGAAAAGGCTCAATAAACTGTTGCATAGATATAATACATTAAGCATAGATAGATATAATCTCTTCGCTTTGTGCTTTGAACTTTTCAATGCGAAGCGCTGCACGCTGTGACTTCGCGTTGCTTCAAGTGCATCATTCTGCGCACGGGATGCGCATAATCGCTTTGCCGCCTTTCATGTTATAATGCTTAGGGGAGGTTTAAACACCTGGGATAAGGGGCGTGGCCAATGATAAGGGGCGTGGCCAATCACTCATGGGCCACGCCCCCTCCTCCTGGCGAAATGGGCCTGCCACCACAGCTGGAAAAAATCCTAGAGAAAACACTGCAAAGTCACTACTTAGATTTAACTATATTAATTATTATATCAGATTCTGAATCATTGTATTGCTTTTAGCTTTACAACGGTCAATATTTTTTTGCAGATACCATTCAAATAAAATAAAATGGAAATACTAATGGAAAAAACTAAATTCTCTGTGATTTCTCTAATAACTGCTATGAGTTTACCTGCATGTAGCAATAAAGACAGGATGCTTTTTGCCCAAAAGTCTTGGACATGCGGCATTTATGAGAATGGATTAATTGTCTCCTAGGGCTCTGGTGGAGCGTTAACCGGTCGCACAGCAGACAGGCTTCATTCTGTACTCGCGTTCAAGGAAGCAGTCCAAAACAGTAGATCACAATACAGGCAAAAGTTCACTTCGAGAATGAACAAAGTGGGGTCAATGAGATTGAATTAAGGTATTTGAAAAAACAGCGAAAAGAAATCTGTAATCAATATTATTTCTCTATATGAAGCATATTTATTCAAGCCACAAAAACAAACCTGTTACTGAAAAATGCACAATACACAATATTCTAGGGTGAAGTCAGTACATACATATATTTGTCCTAAATCATTATATTTTAATGGAAACCTATTGTGAGTAAGTCGTAGTTGTACACGGCCGCCGTAGTGCCACCAGTGTGCATACGGTCATAGAAAACAATGTATTCGAATTTTGAACTTTCTCTCAGTGTGAATTTCAGTTTACGTGTTGCTTTTCTAATGTTTGAGGCACCTTTTAGGAGAAGGGGTCTAATAGCACAAGTAATAGAACATAATTAATGAATAATAACCCACCAAATTGGCTAGTGTGTTGATATGCGTTAACCGCCACAGTGGATTTTAACCAGCATTTGACGGGTGTTAATATATATATATATAGTCATCACATCACTTGGTGAATTACCCACTGGTCTGGTACCAAACGTCTAAATAAGGGTTGCATACTGACAGCACAGCTGGCGGAGAGGAAGCGTTACCTAGAAACCTCAGACAAAACAGAACTGTAACTTGGAGAAGCATTATAGAAATTCTGGGGAAAACAAAATTAGGATGTGCAATTTTTCAGAAAATTATTCACGTTTCTGTGCAAATCTCCACAAAGAGAGTGAGCCCTTTTAGAAACAAAAAATGCAAAGGAGTTAAATGTTTCACAACATATTAAATATAGCTTAACAAATATAACAAACAGGAACCTCTGATGTTGTGAACTGAACTCTTTCCTATAAAATATAAATTTCACATTATGACAACTCATCTACCACCATGTCATCCAGGAAGATTACAGTTATAAAAAATGTCTAAACGCATTTTTGATACCTTTAAGTTATGCAGCAGCTTGCTCAAAAACCTACAAGAAAAGATCATTTTTTAAATTAACTTGAGCAATAATATACACCAAGGCATAGCTATAAGTTCAAATAACTCTTACATTTAATGTATACTTTATACATAAAATGACGTATAAATATGTAATGGAGCCTTTGATGATACTCCAGTGTTCAGTGTCACATGATCCTTCACAAATCATTCTAATATTATCTGATATTATCAGAAACATTTCTGATTATTTTCAATGTTCAAAAGAACATTTTATTTGAAATGGTAAAGGCTTTTACATTATAATCTTTAGAAAATATTTTGATCGATTTTATGCAATCTTGCTTAATAAAAGTATTAATTATTTTCCACAGAAAATAGGCACCAGTGGATAACAGCTGGCCTCTTAAAAGGATAGTTCACCCAAAAATGAAAATTACCCCATGATTCACTCAGCCTCAAGCCATCCTAGGTGTCTATGACTTTCTTCTTTCAGACGAATAAAATCGGCCGTCTGTCGGAAGCTAGTTATTTTAGTTGATTAAGTTTTAAATATTGATATTTTTCTTACACAAATGCATCGCTTCAGAAGGCCTTTATTTACCCCCTCCGGAGAAATATGGATTTACTTTTATCATGGATGGATGCACTTTTTTGGGCTTCAAAATCTTTACATTCACTGCCATTTTAAAGCTTGGAAGAGCCAGCTTATATAACTATCCCTTTAATCTTCTGTGATTTCCTCTTAATCGTTCACACATTTACCTGGAACTTTATCTACGGAGGCGAAGGCTGGGCCGCGTCTGGACTGGTCATAGAAGCGGAAAGGCAGAGATGTTGTAACAGATGGTTGGCTAAAGCCCAGCACCTCTGTGGAAGGCTGAACAGGAAGATCCAATAGAGCTGGAGCATGAATGTTTATGGAAGGAAGGGGAAACAAAGAGAACATGAGCAAAATAAAGAAGAAATGATTGAGACATGATCCACGTTTCCACTGTCGGGCCAAGAGCGTGCTAGGGCGTGCCAGGGCCAGTCGCCCTTCCACTGTCACTTCCGGGGCTTGACCGGGCCTCGTGTGGGCTTCCTCGGGGCCAAATGGCCAGGGTTTTTGGCCCGCAGAATACCTTGGTCCAAAGCATGCCAACTGGGGCTTGAGGAGTGGTTATGAACAAAGGTGGGGTTTACCTGAGTCAGGAGAGGGTCAACACCGCTGCTTATTTCCCATGAAATCATAATAGGCTACCAGCTAACCTCAACATTAAAGATATTTAAAACAAGTTTCAGCTCAAAATGCACCAGCAAGTGTCTGAGATAACTTCTGATTGCGATCCGATGGGGATTCTGATCACCTTGTGAGGCAGAAATATATTTCTATGTCATGCTAAAGGCTACTTATGCGAATCATTGTAAATCATAATAAACTTACATTATACTTATGAAAATACCAGGGACCACGTTTGAAGAACTTCATATCATATTATATATGATTTTAGAACAAATCATATGTGATTATAATCATGTATTTATTAGGTTTCATATTTCATCTGTCTTTTCTCCTTGCATTTGTTGATACCAGACTTCTGCATCCACATTAAATGGATAAATTACATATACTCCGGTAAACTCCCTCTATTGCTCTGGCTGAAAGGATCAGTATAGTGAGACGAAAGACAGGAACATCCTAATAGAAATCTAATAGAAATGCTCATTCTCTGTAAAGAAATGTGACATAAACATATGATATTTTAATCAATATTTTGATTTTGATAAGTCTTTGGACATAAAAGCCCTATCGGAGTGGTTTTGTGCATTCCTGTCATCACAAATAAACGACGCAATAAGTATGTATTCTCTTTTTATGTGAAATAATGATAAATACCAGTTTGAATGAAGTGTATTACTGACATAAATGAATAAATTACTGTCATTGTAACTTTTATTTTCATCGTTCATCATTGGTCAGACATTGATGCTGGAGTCTTAATGTGAAGACCTAACGTCCACTTCTGTTTTGTGATCTAGCTAGTTTTCATTCAGTTTCCCCTTGCTGGTGATATGGTGGGGTTGTGTGATGTTTTCTCCAGGGAGGTGTTAAGGGTGGGTTTTAGGGTAGTACTGCGGTGCTACTGGCTCAACAGTGGAAAGGCAGCTTGATTATGGCCTCGCTGCTCAAGGTCTGTGACTATTGGCCCCATTTGCCCTGTTGTTAGCCCTGGCTCGCACTGGCTCGACAGTGGAAAAGCGGCTTTTGATTAACACATTTTTCTCCAGCTAGAAATTAAAACAAGCATTACAGGTAAAAAATCCAAGATAAAGGGAAATTCCATGTCTCTGCGAATTGGTACAATTAACTGTAAAGCACCTGTCATCCATTCATTTGAAATGTTATTCAGGCCTGTTAAAGTATAAGTCCCAGCTGTTGTGTTGTTGCACAACACCTGGGAGGTCTGAGAAAGTATAATTTATAGTGCTGGGCAACGATTAAATTTTTTTTAATCGCGATTAATCGCATGATTTTCTTGCGATTAATCGCGATTAATCGCATTGTTACGCGCAAACTTTAATAATGAATTCTAAAGTAGTGTATTACTCACTTTTGATTTAAATGTACTGCTATATACACAAAAGTGTAATAACATGTGGTTTGCAAAAACTTTAAACAAATAAGGTGCTTTATACCAGCAGTATTCCCTTTACACAGCAATAAAATATTTATTGTAAATCTCAACTTAAACATTAATGTAATTAAATCAAATATTAAAACAAAGCTATTTGCCACTGCCAGGGCATTACCTTTTACCTAGCTTGTTAAAATGAGTCCAGTTTTCTTGTTTTTTTTCTTAACAGGTATCAACAGGTCTCTTTTAGCAGCAGAAACAGTCTATGTAGTCAGAGGTCATGAGATATAAGTCGACCAACGTTACTTCTCTGATAGTAGCTTAGGTTTGGTCATGCCATGGTTTCCCACGTACACTAAGATTGCATTAAACAGAGGTAAAGCCCAATTTATACTTCTGCGTCGAACTTACGTCGTACCCTGACGTGCACCTCTCCAAAAATGTAACAACGCGTCAATTCTACGCGTACCGCAAGCGCTGTGATTGCTAGAACCGCTCCACGGGTTTCACATGCTCCCTCTGCATGTGTAATTGCGCGTCAACGCGGACAACGAGGCAGAAGTAAAACCAACCAACGCGTAGTGTATAGCGTAAGTCCGACACAGAAGTATAAATCAGCCTTTTAGAGTGAGGTGAATTGGTCGAGCACAAGGTGCAGCGACAAGCGGGTGCGTTCTGTGAAACTTGCGGTCATGCTCGCCTCACGCGCTCGCCTCACGCCCGCGCCCGCCCGTTGCCGAAGTTGAATTGTCTAAAAGGACTTTGATTGTCTATAACTTTTTGTACACGACGCGCAGTACAAATCATTGGAAGAGAGACTGATCCTCGGCTCGCTGTTTGTGAGTTTCCAATATTTAAATCGACAGAAAGGAATTCACATTGCAGAGCATCCCCGCTAAACTACACGCAGGCACATCAGGTAAAGTTATGTATAATTTTAATTTAAGTTAAAAAGACTACAGCTGCATAGCGCACAGAAGCCGTTGCCATGGTTACTATCCATAGAGCGCCTGTCATTCACTCGCGGAGCGCTGTCTCCCTTTCTGTTCACCAGAGAGAACCTGCCAAAGCCTCTCTCCACTGCTGGTTTGGGTGGGTTATTTGCTGGCTGACCAACATCCCACCACTCCTGTGATCCATGGTTTGACTGTAGGCCTATGTCCTATTCAGAGCCAGTGTGCAACGGACTTTCAAAAAAAAAAAAAAAAAAACTGCGTTAACGTGCGATAAAAAAATTGTCGGCATTAATTAATAAATGCGTTAACGCAATAATAACGCGTTAACTTGCCCAGCCCTAATAATTTATAAACAGATATGAGTTGCTGTAAAAAAATAGTTTATGGCTTTGTCTTCAAGGCAATTTACAGTTAAAAAGCAGCCAAGGCCTGACCTGCGATCCTCTGCATTTTCATGCGCCTGGCCTGGATACGGCCCTTGGCTAGTCGCTGTTTGGCGATGATGCAGCGAATATGGTCTGCAAAGATGAAGTTAGCCTGCAGGATGGGCACAGGCTTGGCGTGAGGGTTAGACGTGGGCTTGTGTATGATGATGTTCAGAGCCCTGCTGTCGTCTTCTACTCCTGAAACCTGCATGTCCTGTGAACATATGCAGATGATTAAAATTGAGTCATCAATTTATGCAGGAAGTTTGGCTTCTAAGACTAAAAATGCAAAAAGTATTTTAAAGTATATCATTTTTATTTAATTGTTTTCATTTTATTTGTTCATTCATTTTATTTAACTTATTTGCATTTGCTTTATTTATTTTCTTTGGGCGTTCCTATAACACTCTTAACATGTCTTGCTATCACTCCTTACATCTCACAATACTTATTTAGCTGCAAATAATGTCATAATTGTTGTGCTAACAAAAAGATGAATGGTGTCACTTAAGACCAAGCCTTGCTAAAAAGAGCGATTTAAAAATGCCTAATTATGATTAATTTTGTTCAAAAATGCAACACTAATCAGTTTTAACTGAAAATATCATGTGATACACAAAGTGACGATAAAATGAAATTAGCAGATTAAAATGATTACAGTTGATTTGATTTCACCCCAGCCTATTATCACATTTATGCAAGGTAGGGTGCTTAACAACTGGTTTAAAGGTATTTCATCTAGGGCTGGGCGATATGGCTGAAAACTGTATCACGATATCAGTGTTTCATATCGGTCGATATCGATAATTATTGATTTTTTTATGACCCATTTAAAATAAGGACCAGGAGAAAAAATATATTACATTTAAACATTTTTATTTTAAACTTACCCTTCCTCTGATTACAATCCCAAGACAGAAATGTCAACACAACCATGGAAAACTCAAATAATTAGAATGTAAACATAAGTCTAAATTCACAATCAGACCTGCAAACTCCTCAGAGTAAAAAAGGTGACAGTGGCGCGGCGGGACGGGGGTGGTGGGGGGTTGTGATCGTACGTGCCCCCTGCTTGATTTCTTTTTTGAGACATCACGGTTCGGTACGATTTCGGTACAATGGAGTGAAAAGCAAAACAGAAATATATTAGGCATTTTTATAAATGTCTTAAGCCTTGTATTTTTTAAATAAGTTTTATTAATAAAGGCATAGAACCAGTTTATTTATAGTGCACTGATAATAGTTTTATATAATTGGTTTATTAATTAAACTAATAAAAAGATAGATATGAGATATGTTTGGTAATTGTACCTGAATGAATTTAAAATTAATTTGCTATATTTCAGATCAATATATTTGTTTTCCTTAATTTTAATTAACCCTAACTTTATTCTCATCAGAATTATAAATAATTGATTTCCGTATAAAATAATCTACCAACATATTTCACTTTCTTTTTTAATCAATGTGTAACTTAAAAATAAACAGATTAGTGCTCTGTTTTGAGGACAAGAAATGAAAACCAATGCGATATGATGAATGTCCAAAAGTTTGAACACACAGACTGTTTTACAAAAGGGTTGGATAAATATGTTTTGCTTTTAAAACGGTGTGTGACAGTTGTAGGTTACAGTTTGACAAGAAATACAGTGTGACAAAAGCACAATGTTGTGTTTTATTGCGAGTATAGGCCTACACAAATATAAGTAAACACTTTGCAGACTGAATGATGTCCTGTATTAACAAAATGACGGAGTATGTTTTTATGTCTCCACTGTTCGATCGCGCCCGCGTGTCTCTCTCTCTCTCTCGCGCGCGCGCTCGCGCGGAGTCGGACACACACACACACACACACTCCAGCATTGAAATCTTGACATCGCAGCCTGTTCATTATGCTGTGTTCACATCAAACGCGAATAGAGCGAATTATCCAATAATGTTTCGCAACTCTAGCCTGCATGGCATGCAGATGAAGGGCACTCATTTTCTGCTTATCAATCGCCGGTTACTGAAGAGGAACCCAGCAGCACGAGACAACGATATGGCGCAACAAAACTGACACGTTACATGATTGCCTGAGCGTGTCACTCCCTACGTTGCTAGGTTACCAGAGAGCGCGTGCCTTTGATAATGCAACCAAACTTGCTTCGCAACCTGTGGTTTCTTCCGACGAAGAAAAAAAATATCGAACGTTTTATCGAACACATTTTTTATTGATATCGATCACGTGTCTATCGCGATACATATCGTTATCGTTTTATCGCCCAGCCCTAATTTCATCCATATGGGTTGCTTGGAATAGTTTATGAACACTCATGTCCAGTAATGTCAGTATCATTACTTAATTCATAAAATCATTAAATCAAAGTTCATGACATTCTTTTACTAGTTAAAAACAATTTGAATGCATTTTAATTAGTAATCTGTCATATAAAATAATATATAATGATATTATTGAAAGTTAATATAAAGTGTTGATTACATTTTAATGTAGTTTACAAATCCTCTAAAGCTTTCCTCATACATATTATGTTGGCTGGACACCCCCAAAGGGTTATGATGCAACACATGCATTACCCAATTAATTATTTTAATTGACCTCGCATTCAAATTGGGGCACTTTGTTCAGGGCAGTATAAATGCATTTCTGCAACTCTGAACAGCCGAAAACCAGATTTATGAGATTTTTTTTAAATTGGTTTTTGAGACGAGCCCTTAAATACCTTCCTTTAGTACATGCATTAACTTCAAAATCTGACAGAGGACTTTACTTCTGAGCATAAACATCACAGTCTTGACAAGAATGTGGCTAAAGTGTACTTTTTTTTGTTTGAGCGTCATGTTTGCAGTGTAGGAGTGGAAATGAAGCAGACCTGCAGAAGGCCAGCAAACTTGACAACACCCCAGCCAAGACGCTTTGAATCCGGTTCCACAAGACTCATCTGGTACACATCAACAGCCAAGAAGCGCTGAGCTTGAACCCCATCTTTACTCACTACCATGCAAGCAATAAGATCGCTGTTATCTAGAAGGGAAAAAGGACAAAAAACACTTTTGTTTACGGTTAAATAATGGATAGTTAATTCCAAGGGTCCTTCAACAAACTTTCATACATCAGTAAAACAGGTCAAAAAAGGTCAAAGTTCACACGGTGCAACCACTTCAAGCTATTAAAACAAACTCAGATGAAAAATTTCACCAAATATACATGTCCAGATCTGCTTCACACACAATACCACATTCTATTAGTAGCCTCTGATCACATGCTTCAGGAAATTTAGCATTGAAATTTCAATTAAATCATTTAATCTATTTCGCTTAAAACATAAGGACTTGCACATTTTAATATAGTCATGCATTTACCATTACAAAGTGTTAAAGGGGTCATATAATGGTACATGCACTTTTACAAGTTGATTGTACTGAAATGTGTGTTGGCAGTGTCTGTACACAGCCATCATATAATGATAAAAATCCATCCAGTGGTTTTGTTTTAATCTCCTTATACACTCACCGGCCACTTTATTAGGTACACCTGTCCAACTGCTCGTTAACACTTAATTTCTAAGCAGCCAATCACATGGCGGCAACTCAGTGCATTTAGGCATGTAGACATGGTCAAGACAATCTCCTGCAGTTCAAACCGAGCATCAGTATGGGGAAGAAAGTTGATTTGAGTGACTTTGAACGTGGCATGATTGTTGGTGCCAGAAGGGCTGGTCTGAGTATTTCAGAAACTGCTAATCTACTGGGATTTTCACGCACAACCATCTCTAGGGTTTACAGAGAATGGTCCGAAAAAGAAAAAACATCCAGTGAGCGGCAGTTCTGTGGGCGGAAATGCCTTGTTGATGCCAGAGGTCAGAGGAGAATGGCCAGACTGGTTCGAGCTGATAGAAGGGCAACAGTGACTGAAATAACCACTCGTTACAACCGAGGTATGCAGCAAAGCATTTGTGAAGCCACAACACGCACAACCTTGAGGCGGATGGGCTACAACAGCAGAAGACTCCACCGGGTACCACTCATCTCCACTACAAATAGGAAAAAGAGGCTACAATTTGCAAGAGCTCACCAAAATTGAACAGTTGAAGACTGGAAAAATGTTGCCTGGTCTGATGAGTCTCGATTTCTGTTGAGACATTCAGATGTTAGAGTCAGAATTTGGCGTAAACAGAATGAGAACATGGAACCATCATGCCTTGTTACCACTGTGCAGGCTGGTGGTGGTGGTGTAATGGTGTGGGGGATGTTTTCCTGGCACACTTTAGGCCCCTTAGTGCCAATTGGGCATCGTTTAAATGCCACGGCCTACCTGAGCATTGTTTCTGACCATGTCCATCCCTTTATGGCCACCATGTACCCATCCTCTGATGGCTTCTTCCACCATGTCACAAAGCTCTAATCATTTCAAATTGGTTTCTTGAACATGACAATGAGTTCACTGTACTAAAATGGCCTCCACAGTCACCAGATCTCAACCCAATAGAGCATCTTTGGGATGTGGTGGAACGGGAGATTCGCATCATGGATGTGCAGCCGACAAATCTGCGGCAACTGTGTCAATATGGACCAAACTCCCTGAGGAATGCTTCCAGCACCTTGTTGAATCTATGCCACGAAGAATTGAGGCAGTTCTGAAGGCAAAAGGGGGTCCAACCCGTTACTAGCATGGGGTACCTAATAAAGTGGCCGGTGAGTGTATGTTTTCCCCTGCCTCAAATCGAGCCGTTCGAGCCTGTGACATCACAAGCTCGCACGCCCCTCCCACGATTGTTGATTGACAGAACGGTTTCAACACAGACCCGCCCTCGGTCGTGAGCTAGCTGTCAATCATAGTCTGCGCGGACCGGCGCGGTCATTGTTGATATGCTGGAGGAGCACTGTCTATGAGCAGAATGGCGTCTAAGCGATTGTGGTGTTCTGTTCTTGGGTATAATAACGAACACAGCAGTCATTTTAATGTTCCTAAATCCGAACCGCCAAAGACGCAGTGGCTGAGTTTGTTTTCGAAGGGAATATTCCCCACGAGCAACGTCAATGCTCTCATGTTTGCGCGAATCATTTCACACACCAGACTGCTTTATAAACGAGGAGGTATAAAGCTGGTTTTGCTAAGAAGCTGCTCCTGAAAAAAGATCGGTACCAGATATTTGTGTTCCTGCTGAATCTCCAGAAGAATGGAAGTGAGTGTAAGGTTTTATTAAACTTTATATTAATATTTATATTAATCCTTGTAAATCGCTAGCTGCACGCTTCACAATGAATGCGTCTAAGGTTTACACTCAGTCAGGGTACATTACGGCATGTTTTCTATGTATGACGTTCTCAATATAATGCATAATCCCACGTTTATACTGAACAACGCGTTATGGTTATTGTGTTACAAACGGTGTACGCCAGAGCCGGCTCTGGTGTACGCACAGAACAGAGGGGCGGGGTGAGCAAAGCTCATGATCATTTAAAGTCATATGCACTGAAACGGCGTGCTGAAAACAGAGCTGTTTTTTACCAGGTAAAATAAGTGTTTTCTTACAATACTAATGAGAATTTTTAATTAAAGTATATTACAAACTTTTAATTTAGACCCTAAAGAATCATATTAGCTTGTACAAAAATGGCATTATATGACCCCTTTAAGAAAATGTCAGTGCCGAGTGAATTTAATCATATTAAAGAGACCTGGCATGAAATCAGACTGCACTCATGCGGGAGTTTTCAAAAACACTCCAATGAGTCATGACCAACACAGTATATCGCAGCTACATAGGTGGGCGGAGAAGGAAGAAGGGGAGGGGTAAATAAGGGAGGTAGGTCATGAATGTTTTAAGTTGGTTTCAGACCAACTGAACTACTAATAGCTGAAACAGCATCGTCACAAGTTGAGGTACTATGACTTTGTAGCAGTTTCTCTTTGTGCTCTGCACTTCCTTAGAAGTCACACTGATGGGTTGAGGAATTACTTCAGAACTGAAAGAGCAAGGGTTGCTCTTCCTTTTAACGCATAGCCAACTGTGATGACAGAGAATTATGTTGCCTCTGGGGAAAATTATCTGCTGTGATTCCAAGGAATACCCACTTCCATGTAGTTACAGTTTGACTTGTTAACCAGACAGCTGAGGCTCAGTAGTTCTGCATTTTTAAAGCCACAAATACCATAATGCACACCAGCTCTGTGGAATCTCGTATCCTTAAGGGAACCCGGGATGCACTGCACGGGTAGTCAAAAATGTTGGTTGATTCATTATAAAATTGTATTTTAAAATAGGAAACCGAACATGAGCTTCAGTGCTTATAAATGACAGGCTTATTACGTGAAAACTGGGTGACTTCATAAAAAAAAAATCACTTTTGATTGATTCAGGACAAATGTAATGAATCATTCAGAAACATTTGGGAACCAGTTTGACCAATCCATTAAAGGGACCTTCATCAAAAGAATTTGCTCACAAATTGATATCACAAGGCAATATAGCCAACAAAATAAGTTAAAGCAAAACATAACCAAGATATCGTCTACATTCTGTACATTTTGATAATTAATAGTTGATAATTTAATTCAGTTGATTTTAATTCAACAAATTATTCAGATCAATTTGATTTTACGGATTAATTAAAAATTATATTATGAAAAGAACAATTTCCTAACAAACCAAAAATTTGCACCAGTGCTATATATGTACACTGTCGTTCAAAAGTTTGGGATTGGTACATTTTAAAAAAAATGTTTTTAAAATAAGTCTCTTATGCTCACCAAGGCTGCATTTATTTGAATAAAATGCAAAAAACAGTAATATTGTGAAATATTATTACAATTTTAATAGTGCTGTCAAACGATTAAAATATTTAATCGCGATTAATCGCATTAATGTCATAGTTAACTCGCGATTAATCGCATTTAATCACACATTTTTATCTATTGTAAATGTCCCTTGATTTCTTTTTGTCCCATTATTTTTTCTCATTTTAATGCTCTTATCAACATGGAAAAGTGGATCGGCTTGCTTTGTGCTAATGTTTTTTATTGAAAACAATATTGGCATATAGCCTACTGTTCAATTTCACACTAAAACATTCTCACTTGGAGCAAATAATCTCTCACACAATGTAACTCTGTCCATCAATAAAAGGGTGAAAGAAATACTGACGAGGTCCTGATATTGACGAGGGGGCAGAGAATTCGCATCAGCTGTGTGAGTGTGTGTGCTTGGCCATCATCAAGTTCAGACTGGACGTGCTGCGATGATGATAGCTCAGTTCACAACGACAAAACACACAGATCACTTTGGTCTTGTCAATGGAACCATTTGGCAACTTTTTAAAAGTAAACTTTCCATTCAGAATCTTATTGGCATCCATTTCGGCGTCTCGCGCTCATCATCCACTCAAAACTGGACGTTTTGAACGTTCCTATAACATTCAGAAATAACATTTTTATAACATAATGGAAACGTTATGAAAACGTTCTTATAACCTACAATTGTTAGCTGGGGAAGAGGAGAGATTTGCGATTGCACTGAACACGTTTTAAGTGCAGGCATATTCTCTGAGCGAGCCTTACAAGAGCAGCGTGTATCTGAGAGCGCGCGAGCAGAGAGATTCGTGCTCATAGACATAATAAATACATGTCTATGTTCGTGCTCGGCACATTATATTCCGCGCGCGAGCAGAGAGATTCGCGCTCGCGCATCCGGCTCGCAAGCCCAAACAAGTGTGTGCGGCGTGCCTGTTGTTTTGTTTCCGGTCTAGTTAGATCCGCTTGCGCTTTCAAAGCATCCTCGCGCGGCGAAAGCCATAATATGAATGGGTTTCATAGGGCAGCGCCGCGCATGCCGCGTCCTGTTGCAAAAACATGTGAAAAAAAACTACAAAGTTTGCTAGGCCAAAAAGACAGTTAATCGCGCGATAAAAAAATTAACGCCGTTAAAATGGGTTTGCGTTAACGCCGTTAATAACGCGTTTAACTGACAGCCCTAAATTTTAAATAACTAATTTTACAATTTAGAAAAGTCCAGTCTTCAGGTT